GGACAGGAAGGAATTAATACCTACCCTCTTCATCCTCCTCCACTTCACTCAGACTTTTATCTTCCTGGAACCCAGAGCTCGCGAAGCTCTCGCTGCTGGTGACACTGGCCAGCCTTTGTTTTTTGCCTTCCACTGACTCACTATCCTTTTTCTCTCTCATTGGCTCTCCTTGCAGAGAGGAGTCCTTTAAACAAACAGAGGAGAAGAGGTGCTACCTCAGAGCAAATGAGGGGGTGGCAGAGGAACACAGTCAGGCTTCTGTCTCCTTTCTGTCAGGGGAAAATGCTGGTCCATGGCACGTGCAGTCACGTCTCCCACGAGCGTGGGTGTCCAGTGGCACTGCAGTGGACAGGGGTTGGTGACAGGGCTGCACTCCACCAAGGTTGCCGTCCCCAGAGGGCAGAAACATGGTGGCTTGGGAGCATGAGCATATGATTTTGGGGCAACCTGGTTGGCAGGCTACGTCTGATGTGGTGAAGGATTTTCAGGGTCCATGGATGGACATATCCACTGGTCTATGGCTCATCTCAGCTTAAAATGAGACATTTGAAAGGGCCTGTTTCTCTCTGGTAGTCAGAAACACATGGTGGGATGAGTTGAGGAGGTGCCCATGGTGTAGGTGTCCCAGACCTTTCAAAACAGTCAAGTTTTTGTCCCAGGCTGATTAAAGCACCAGCTGTCCCTGCACAGTGCTTGGCGGGGGGCTGTAAGCCCTCCCAACAAGGAACAAGGACACTTTGTGTTGGAAATACAGCTGCTGTTGGAAGTAGCTGCCTCTCTTCCCCAATACCTTTATCCAATGCTTTCATGCTACAGCCAATGACGACTTAATGGGACACGCAACACTGTATTGAAAATGCTTAAATGTTCTCTCACTGCTACCAGGAGAGCAGACTAGCTGCCTGGCCATGATCTTGCCCCTTCTTCCTTTTCCTCTTGCCCTGTGACCACCTCTGCCCTGCACATGCTGGTGCAGAGCCAGGTGCCCTCCCTCGCTCCCTCCTCCTTCCCAGGGGTGCCGAGGCACTGATTCTGGGCACACTTCTTGCTGGGAGAATGGGGTTGTCTCCCCCCAGGGTGGACCCTGCATGGCCATGATCCCTGCTGAGCATCCTGCGCCAACAACCGCACATTGGAGAAGGTGGCTGCTGTGTCTCATGCCGAGTCCAACATGGACAGCCTTACGAACAGAGACTCAGCCAAAGCCCTGGATATCCCTGGAGTGATGTCCCTGAGAACACCCCTGGAGTGGGGATGTTCTCCAGAGTGCGCCCTCCTGCAGAGCTCTCATGAAAAAAACTTGGAGATGCTGCTGAGGTTTTGGCACAGCTGAGAAGAGGTTTTGAGGACTGCTTTTCTGTGTCCAGGCTCCTAAATCCCACTTCAGAGCCCTTAATCCTTTGAGGGATTTTGCTGAAAGTTCACAAGCAGGGATATAGTTGGCACATCTGGGTTCAGGTTTGTAACAAGAAACCCACCCTAGATTTGATTCAGAGGGCTGTGGGATGTGAGGACAAGACTGTAATCTCTTCTCCTCTTGATAGCCCTTTTCTTCACACAACAATAATAAGATTACTTGCAAATCTCTGAACATTAGGGTGTCTTGGAATATGAGCTTTAAATGGTATTATCTTGGTTGTGTTCCCAGCAGCACTGAAATCAGTGGGCAAAACCACTTCCTTTGGCTTCGCTGACACAAGCCTCTAGGAATGGGTTTGTCAGCGGTGGGTGAGAGCATGTGGGGACACTTTGGATGGGATTCACTTCCTCTCGCTCTAGATGGCTCCATCCAAATTATTCACAGCAGTTCCCTTGCACAGTCAGGGGAGAGAAATAAGTCCTTTGTTGGCACAACGCATCCCACACCAAATATTAAAATAGGTCAGGTGAACTGCACCCAAAAGCCATTTCTCTCCTTCGGCAGAAGAGAGTGTAAGGAGACTCAGCTCAGAGGCTGACATCTACATTACTGACACTTAGGTTAGTAAGATGAACCCTACCAGAGGCATCTGCCTCCTCACCTTGTTAGGGCAGAAAAAATTCCTCTTGCTCTTCAGGTAGTTTGATAAATTCCCATACTTGCAGTATTCAACAATCACCATCAGAGGTCCTGGGCAAAAGGAAAGTGCATTTTAAGCAGCATAAAGCAATACAAGTCAGCATCAGTTCTGAGAATAAAAGTCTTTCATACCCACAGACGTAACTTGAGTCCAGAAAAACAGTATGTCCTAATGAAGTAGAAGGCTGCTTGAAGGACACTGGACATGTTTAGGAAAACAACACTGTTTCTGGAAATAAGGGAAGGGCCTAATTTTTGAAAGATGGGTCATGAACCTGGCTCCTGAGGGACCCTCCATTTCCTCTTCCAGCAGCCTGCATTCAGACTGGAGTCCTGCAGCCCACACATGCTTGTTGACCTAGAATAGGTGACATATCTAAAACAAACGATTGCTCGTACTGGCCCTTTGATTTTCTTAGTGGAATATCATGAAGGATTTTACAGCAGTTGCCTTGTGATTCATTGTTGGGGGCCAACAGCCAGTATCACTTGTTTCCAGCCTTGACAGATCCTGTTTAACTTGAGCCGTGAAGTGAGTGAGATAAGGACAACAAGTGGCATGGTCCTAAATTCACACTTCTCATTTTAATACTAGAGGACAGTTTAAGTAGAGAAAATGTTTAGTCACTTGATTAAATGACTAAAAGACTGTTTTCCTCTTTTATTTTTTTTTTCTTTTCCACCAACCACAGGATGAGCTCCAATATTTCAAGTTAATAACTTGATTTCTGGACAAAAAAAAACCAACAAAACCAACTGACTGTTACTGGGAGGTGATCCAATCCCATTTTCAGTGCAGTGCAGATATTTTACCTCCGTTTTTCGTGCAAGCTCCCAGCAGATTCACAATATTGAGATGATGACCAATGTGGATCAGGATTTTCAGCTCAGTCATCAGTGCTTTGTACTCACTTGCTGTGGCCCCTTCTGCAAATACAAAATAAAGTCAAAGTGAAATGGCAAAAAAATGGTCCTGCTGAGCTTTATCACTTCTTGTTACTTTCTATTGAAAGAACTTCCATTACTGGATGCACTTTATGTGTTGATGTTCTTTTTCTATTCCTCCCTGCTCAGCATCCTCTTACTCGCAATAAAACCCATAATAAGAGTTAGGCACTCAACTTCCTCCCAGTAGACTCTGTTATATTTAGAACTGAGAGAAATTTTTTTCACATGAATAGTTTTGTCATTCTAGCCAAAAAATGAAAGAACAAATAAAAAGGGATTTCAAGACTATAATTAACTCTATCTAGAGTATTTTTCAGCTGACCTGAATTCATCTGTCTAAGGGTTATGTACTAGCCTGAGCTAGTCAACATCTCCAGGAGCCAGTAGCAAGAGCAAAACATTTCCAGAGGCTGATTTAGCCATCACCTTTAGCAATCTATACAGAGAAGAGATGAACCACCCCTTGGTGATGCTTGTCTGATTCTGCTCATTATAGAAGTCCTGAGTATTAAGACAGACCAGAGAAATACAATTTTAATTGGTTAAAGCTAGGTGACCGCATCTCACCCTTACTAGTTATAATCAGCATTAATAATAATAGTAATGACAGAAGAAATCCTACAACAAACCCCAAAAGTTTCTGTTTTCTGTTATACACTGGCGTTGTACATCCCTCCAAGCAAATATGTTTCTGCAGGATTTTATTTTGGTAAAAAAACAACAAAAAAAACCCCAAAAGGACCCAAAAGGACTTTTTCAGTTTGGTGACACCAAGAGTAAGAAAAATGCAGTGGAAAGAACATACAGCTAGGTCTTAAAGGGCTTGGTTTCAACAATGAATGGTGGTCCCACACAAAATCTGTCCCAGTGATCCACTGTTCATCCATAGAGGTGGTGACACTTTCCCTTCACCTCACAGGAATTCTATGAGGGCAAAGCCCATGAATGACTGCAAAGTTCCTGGATAAACTAGTGAGGACGCAAGGAATAGGGCAGACCTTCCCTAACTTTAGGTGTTCATAGTGAAGATACCTATACAGGACCTAGTCACAACAGGCTGTCTTCACAACCTACAAAGCTAAACAAGTGCTCAGCTCACCATGTGCAGGGATCTGCCTTAGAACGGGATGAACTGTTGTTTCCCCGCACTGACAAAAAAGGGGACTAGGTACAAGTGTCTACCCAGCACATGCAGTCATGAATTCCACCATGAAGATTTCCTGTAGGTGCCATTTGCTTCCATCTATTCCAGGAGCAGCTCTTGACTCCTTGATGGTGCCGGCTGGCACAAGAAGCCTGCTGCTGTACATAAGGCATTGAATCTGGTAGACCACCCAGCCAGCACATGTCTGCACGTTGGCAAAACAGCTCAGTTTACTCAGGAGTCAGGTGGTGACCCAAATGACGGGTCATCCACTGAGAGCAGTGACAGAGATGGCCCAGAGCTGCAGAAGGTCTGGACAGGGACCAAAGCTTTAGTTTCCTCCCATTTTCCAGACTTGCTTGCTGCAGGGTAGTTGATCATTTGGCATCGACCAACAGGGTATTTCTGTGCTTCTGCATCAGGAGAGAGGAGAAGGGTTTGCAACTCTCTCAGCAGCAAATTTCCTCCTTGGCGATGCCCCTGGATATCACATTTGATATTATATTGCAGAACAAGCCTATTAGGACAGCATCAAATGGGCACACCCTACACAGAGTACAGCTGCCAGGTCAGTGTCGGCAAGAAAAAGAAACTATTTCAGGTTGAGTATTGAAGGGACTGACTGTAGGACTTTGGGTGACAACATTCAGCTGCTGCAGGCTATGGCTGACTATCATCCTGCCTGCTAACTTCTCTTCAAATTGATGAGGGCTTTTGTCCCTTCTGCTCCAATGAGAGAAGTGGCAGTGAATAGCTCGGAGATAATTTCACTTTGGGAAGACCACTGGTGTATGAACAGTGCTGACAAATCCATTTCACAATGGGTGTCAGCATCCTAAACACCGTGTGGTGGATCTGCAGATGGTTCGGAGAGGACACAGCTGCACAGCAACTCCAACATTTAAACTGCCTAATCTGTCTAGCTTATTAAAAGGGCCTGCATGAAGACAAATCATTATGGAATCTACTGGAGAAGGTTAGAGTGAGAAGCGAAAGTCAGATGCAAATTAGACATAAGGCACCTGTTTTTCACAATTAGATGATTAATTATTGGAACTAATGACTAAGGAAAATATGAAAGCTTCCATCTGAGTGTATTCACATCAAGGTGGATGCCTTGTGCTTCAGCTCAATTTCAATTACATTTAATTTTCAATTAAATTTCAAGTGTTCAGTATAGGGTCAGTCTGGCATAATGGTGCAACACAGGGTAAGCAGGAAATCTAATGTCTCCTACCAAAGTGAGTCTTTAATTATTTCAGACATTTGAAGTAGTGGAACCAGCTTTTCAAAAAAAAAAAATTAGGCAATCAGGTTCTCACCACATCTGAAACTGTGTCTGTCATGTGACAATTTATCACCCTTTTTGTTGTGAATGCATTTTTTATTTCATAGTTCTGCCATTTCACTTGTGCTGGACCTGAAACTTCGTGTACCTATTTTGGAGACTTCAGAGATGTATTGGTGGGGGCATAATGTCAAACACTCTTGCTTCTGACAGAATCATGTTAAAAGTGGGACACTGTACAAGATGTCATTTTTTTTCCAGTTCAGCTTTGCAGCAAGATACCTTTCAGCATTTTCACAGCAACTATTCTGCATGTTGGTGATTTCTTAATTCCAAAAGCAGATGCTTGTACCACCTTTCCAAAAGCTCCATGTCCAAGAGACTTTCCTGTAAAGAAAATAAATTTGAGAGTTACATTCTGGTAAGAAAGTAATCTTGTCAGCAAATGGCTTCACACATAATGAATTGAAAAATGTGTTTGACAATGAGTCCCACATACATATTCCAACATATAGGTGGTTTAGATTTTTTTTTGTTTGGGGTTTTGTGTCGTTTTTTCCAAGAGTAGGCAGACAAACCAGAAGAAAAAGTCATCAGAGGGAGTAAGTGATATGATTGAAAATTATCCTAAATAAATGCAACCATTCAGTGGAGGTACACTGGCTTCTGACCTAATTTTTTCAGTCTAGCTCAGCCAAAGACCTTCTCTTTTCCCTGAGTGCACTGCACCATGCAGCAGGCTGTGATGCTGCTAGCTGGGTCCTTAATAACACAGGACCCCCACCTAAACTCGCACACACACTAAGGTGGAGCTTGCCACAGACTTTGGTAATTTTTACAACTTTAATTTCTCCTTCTCAAACAAGGTGCCTTAAAAGTATCTTCATTCCATGGAGACAAAAGCAACTTTGCATCACACCTCCTGGAGTACATGCACAACCCCTGATGCTCTTCCCTAGCAAGCCCTTGCAGGTTGAGGTCTTGGAGTGATGAGAAGCTGCAAATCTGTGCAAATTAGACCTTTACATTTGCAAAATGAGATCTGGGGAGATTAATCGAGAGGGGACTTGTAATGACAAATGATAGTTTTGCTCATGTTAGGTATGATGCTTCCAGGTGCCAAGGGCACACTTTTGTGCCGTATCATCATCACACTGCAACTGAGCAGACCCCAGGAGAATCATACAGAGGTCCTTGAGATTAATCAGTGTGCATCAATAAAGTTCTCTAGCAGTAGAAGCTGAGTGTCCTCTTCCTTTGTGTTCAGAAACAGCTAAGATTCTAAGGGTCCTGTTTCAACTTTTCTAGAATTCATGACATTTTATGCCAATCTTGTGATCTTCACAAGGTTCCTTCATGATTAGTTAGTGGTTGAGGTAGTGAGTGTTGACTACCTCTTTGACACTGTGCTCACATGGATAGACGTAGATGCCTCTGCCCTTCTCAAGTGGCTGGAGGAATTTTGAGCTGAGAGATCTTGTCAGTACATCAGCTAGCAATAAGTTTTATTTCCAAGTAACAACTATTTTCGGATTGTATTTGTGCGTCACTTTCAGCAGAACCCAGGCACCTAAATGGTTAGCAAGAGTATAGCAGCAGGCTTCGTGGTATATGGGAGAAGAGCAGAAAATAGAGCCCAGCTTTTCATATAAGAGCAAAGGATAACATGGCATGTATTTATTTCTCAGATATGTACGTGATAGCCATCTCCATAGGACAGTTTCCTTTCCCTGTGATGGAGACCTGTTTGATTAGCTCTCACTTGGACATCTACCTTGTTGATGTTTGACTGAGAGATGAATCCCACTCAGACACTCAGAAGCAGAGAGAAAGAGCTGCTGCCAGTTCTAAATTTAATGGTTACTACCCTTTATATGTGTATCGTATTTCTAAACTGTAATTCTCAGTATGTCTCTCAGTAGAAGCAGATAGCATATGTTATCAGAGCAATGGAAAGAAACATGAAGTAGCATATGTTAAACCAAAAACATCCTAGAAATTTATTTCCCTGCTTCATGTGCAAAAGTGCTGAGCCTTGGTTTGTGAAGGGTTTGGTGTTTGACACACAAATACAGATATATCAGGTATACAGTGTATATCTTCAAAAATCAGCAGTCACCTTTTTCATTTACTTCATCTAGCTTCTTCATTCAGCAGATGTACAAGGGAAGCAACATTAAGACTAAGGTCTCAGTTTCTTGGTGTATTGGTGTTCTTAGTCCTTAATGTATTGGCTGTTCATGGTTTCTATAAGATGAAGTTGCAGTTTGAGGTCCTATAAAACACATCATACCTTTGTTTAATCTATAGCTTTAATCTGTTTCCATCACTTTTAACTCGTTTCCCGCATCAAGATTACCTACTTAGTCACTACTGGGAAAACATTCCTGTTACCTCATAAAGCTACACAAAGCTCCTGGGTTTCATAAAGGAGAATGAGCACTGGAAACAACACTTCCTTCTCTGAAGAGGGGTTGTGATTTAATGTGAAACTGTAGTAACACTTGATGTTGCTTTGCGATTGTTTGTACCCTGCTAAATGTTAGTGCAGAACAGGGCTGCTTTAACTTTTCAGCATGTAGATTGAGCTCCACAGCTCAGTACATAGATTGTGTCTCTGACTTTAAGAGGTTGCTTTTGCACCTTATGTTTACACACAAAATAATTACAAAATTATCAAATGGAGAAATATTAAGTTGCCCAACCATCTGTGCAGTCAGCGTGTCACAGCCTTCAAGCAGATATACTGGCCATGTTATGGGTATGAAATGTTGCAGCATTTCCATTCAGGTCAAGGAAGCAAAACACATCACTTAAATTTTCTGCACTTGACTTTGGATTCTTCAGGCAACTCAGAACTCATTAAAGTGAACATATCCCTCAGTTGAGGAGGTTTGATCACGAAGTTTCCATTTCAGTCGCATGTTAGCAAGGTCCTTCAAGTATGTGAGTTGCTGGACTGAGGCATCAGCAAAAATCACTTGCAGATGCTGCTTTCCATGTCTGTGGGAAGGCAGAGGCTCAAAGGTGTGTTCGTTCCTCAGGACATTCACCACAGTTTGAGTCAGCTGGGTTTTCCCCATGTGCAGCTTCATACTTCCCATTATGTTGTGTAGGACAGCTCTGCACATAAAGGAGAGGGGGAAATGCTCTGCTCGGTGCCAGCGCTGTGGGCTTTCGGGGCACGGGAGGGAGCAGGGCTCAGGAAGCCATCTACTACCCCCGGCGTGTTTGACATTGTGCCAGAGGCTTGTTGGCAACACTCCCTCGGGGTCCTGCACCACAGCATCAGCAGTGTGTGACCTCTCATAGATTAGGAAGGTGAAGCCCAAGAGGAGGGTGAGAAATGCATGGTAGCTCAGCTAACACTTGCTCTGGACTGCAGTGCTAACACTGACCGTGATTTATTGCACTGGCATTTTTCTGTCTCATGAAAAGATGACATTTTACCCTCGGTCAGACTAATCTATACTGAAAGTTAATTATCCTGACTTCAGTGGTGCCCATATGAAATTTCCTGTAACATCTGCAGCTCTTACAGCTGAAGAGGGAGTCCTGTTATATAAGCATTGCATCACAACCCCAGGGTGTATGTATGTGTGTTGGAGGCAGAGGAACATCGCAAAGGAGATGTGGGCTGAGAGGAGAGACGTATTTGCAAAAGTTACAATAAATATGTATCCTGGAGGATAAGTAGGTGGAAAGAGAAAAACAGACATATCTGATGCCGGAAGGGGTTGCATTTCTAAGGAAAAATATTTTTAAAAGAACCATAGAAGCACATTTTGTGTTTTTGAGATGCTAATCCTCTGAGACTGCCAAGGTTACTCAAAGACAGCCAACTGCCATGTAAGCAGGACTTGCACTGAGCTAATCTAGCATACTGAACATACTCAACTTCTCTGAATCTGCTTCTCATTCATTGTCAACATTCTTTATTTGTTTACACCAGTTCTTCCACTTTTAACTCATTCTTTGGTCATCATTCCTCACCTCCAGACTCCAAACGCCAAGCCTGCAAGATGTGGGTTTTTCCTTGGCGTTTACACTCCATTTCTGCTTGATTCTTTCCATGGCCTTTACACACAAACAAAGCATCGCATAAAACAGTGATACATTGTCTGCACATCAGGCTATTTGTTCATCGTTGTAAGAAAACTATTTGAAGGTTGAAGAGACTCCAGCACAAAGTCAGGTTTCAGCATTCCCAGAATTGTGTATGACAATTATAAATCGCTAGCGGTACATTTCAGCTGTGCTTATCCACATCTGGTCACCTCGTGATTTCTAGCAGACAAATTAAGTGTGATCCTAATTGTATGCATGTTTTAATCATCCTCTGTCCCTGATCCCTGGAGGACAGAAGGAATCTGTTACACTTCTAGCTAAAAAGTAGGGATTTTCTAGACCTTGCTGTAGGACAAATGTAATGCACGTTTGAAAGACAAACAGCACTACAGCAACAGGCTGAGCTTATCCCTGATATTTTAGTGTTGATTCTCCTGCTAAAATCTGTGTGATTTCTGGAGGGATTCCTCCATTTCAAAATCCGATCCTTACCCTCCTGCCCTCCTCATTAGTCCTGCACTAGGTTAATCAAGTCAGGAATGTTCCCAAACCCATGTCTTTCACTGGGGTGTCTGTAGGCGAGCTAGCTGTAGGTTCAAAGTTTCCATGGATATTTATTTATGTGTGGACTCCTGTGTCACATTCTTGCACTTTTTTTGGTGCACCAACAAGAATGTTTATAAATCTGCAGCACAGAGGGAAAACAGGGAGAGTGTGCTGGAGAAAGAAGGAAAAGGAGAAACAGGGAGAGGTATAGTGTGGACTATGAGGATCGATGAGGATCTATTTCTGCAGAGGCTTTTTTCCAAATGAGTACATAATGAGGTTACAAGGGGAGAAAACGACAGCAAATGCCCAAAGGTCTGATTTAGAAGTCTTTCCTTGCCCTGTTTTTGTGTTGTATTTTAAACAAATCAGTCTGAAAAAATACAGTGCAGCATTCTTCTCTGTATTCTCCTTCTATGACAAGGGGATCCACTTAGTGGATGAGGGAAAGGCTGTGCATTTTGTCTACCTAGACTTTAGTAAATCTGTGGATACCACTTCCTACATCATTCTTCTGGAGAAACTGGATACTCATGGTTTGGATGCTTTGCTGGGTTAAAATCTGGCTGGCTGGTGGGGCCCGAAGAGTGGTGAATGTAGTTCAATCCAGCTGGAACCCAGTCACAAGTGGTGTCCCCAGGGCTCAGTACTGGAGCCACTGCTGTTTAATATCTTTATCAATGATGAATGAGGGGACCAAGTGCACCTTCAGTAAGTTTGCAGATGATACCAGGTTGGGTGGGAGTGTTGATCTGCTTGAGGGTAGGAAAGCTTTACAGATGGATCTGGATAGGCTAGGTCGATGTGCCGAAGCCAACGGCATGCGGTTCAACAAGGCCAAGGGCTGAGTCCTACACTTGGGTCACAACAACCCCATGCAATACTGCAGGCTTGGGGAACTGTGGCTGGAAAGCTGCCCAGTGGAACAGGACCCAGGGGTGTTGGTCACAGTCAGATCCTTATGAGCCTAGAAGTGTGCCCAGACGGCCAAGAAGACAAATAGCATCATGGTTTGTACCAGAATAGCGTGGTTAGCAGGACCGGGGAAGTGATTGCTGAGTACAACTCAGCACAGGTGAGGCCACACCTTGAATACTGCGTTCGGTTTTGGGCCCCTCATTACAAGAAGGACATTGAGGTGCTGGAGAAGGGTAACAAAGCTGGTGAGGAGTCTAGATTCTGAGACTTATGAGTTGCAGCCGAAGGAACTGGGGTTGATTAGCTTGGAGAAAAGAAGGTTGAGGGGAGACCTTCTTGTTCTCTACAACTCCCTGAAAGGACATTGTAGTGAGATAGTGAAATGCTGGGGTCTGAACCCTGAGCCCCACATTAAGGTTGCCATATGGGTGATTCCCACAGCCCTTCATACAGAGGGGGTGAGTTTGCCTTATAGCTTCCCCCCAGGGTGCGGCCGGCCCTGCAGGGAGAGCCAGAAGGGAAATGAGCCCCAGGGGTCCCGCAGTGAGTTGACAAAGGTCAGGGGTCTGCTTGGGGATAAAAGCTGGGACCACTGGCAGGGAGTCAGGAGTGTCTGTCTGTGGAGTGCACTTCACAGAGTGTCCTGGTTCAGGGAAGACCTCCTGACTCTCCTGGAGCTGAGCGGGGTGGCGTTGATTATGTACCAGCTGATTGATCTGTTTGTACCCCCAGTGATCATTCATGGAATGTCCTTCTTGTCTACAATACAGTCTGTGTATTGGTTCATTTTCCTGCTGCTGCTATCATTTTTGTTGGCCCTGGTCATTGGCAGAACAGGTAGGGGTCAGTCTCTTTTCCCAGACAACAAGTGACAGGGCAAGAGGAAATAACAGAGTCACAGAATGTTAGGGATTGGAAGGTTCTCTGGAGATCATGCAAGCCCCCTGCTAAAGCAAGTCCACCTAGAGCAGGTTGCATAGGATTGCATCCAGGTGGATTTTTAATATTTCCAGAGAAAGAGACTCCACAACCTCTCTGCGCAGCCTGTTCCAGTGCTCTGCCACCCTCAGAGTCATGAAGTTTTTCCTTATATTCAGATGGAACATCCTGTGTTCCAGATTGTGCCTGTTGCCCTTTGTCCTGTAGCTGAAACGAGGCTGGCCCCATCCTCTTGACACCTGTCCTTTAGATATTTATAAACATTGGTAAGATCTTCTCTCACCCCTCTCTTCTCCAGGCTAAACAGACCCAGGAGTCTAAGCCCTTCCTCAGAAGAGAGATATTCCAGTCCCCTCATCATCTTCGTAGCCCTTCAATGGACTCTTTCCAGTAGCTCCCTGTCTCCCTTGAACTGGGGAGCCCAGAACTGGACGCAGTACTCCAGATGTGGCCTCACTAGTGCAGAGCAGAGGGGGAGAACTTCCCTCGACCTGCTTGGCCACACTCTTCTTAATACACCCAGGATACCATTGGCCTTTTTGGCCACAAGGGCACATTGGTGGCTGGTGGTTAATTTGTTGTCCACCAGAACACTAAGGTCCTTCTCCATAGACCTGCTTTCCAGCACATCAGCCCCTAACATGTACTGGTGCATGAATTTGTTCCTTCCCAGGTGCAGGACCCTGCACTTGCCCTTGCAGAACTTCATGAGGTTCCTTTTTGCCCAACTCTGCAGCTTGTCCAGGCCTCGCTGAATGGCAGCACAGCCTTCTGGTGTGTCAGCCACTCCTCCCAGTTTTGTATCATCAGCAAACTTGCTGAGGGTACATTCTGTCACTTCATCCACACCATTGATGAATATGTTGAACAAGACTGGCCCCAGTACCTACCCCTGAGGAACACTGCTAGTTACAGGTCTCCAGCTAGACTCTGCACCACTGATCACAACCCTCTGAGCTCTGTTGCTCAGCCAGTTGTCAATCCATCTCACTGTTCAGTCATCTAACCCACACTTCCTAAGGGTGCCTATGAGATTGTTATGGGAGACAGTGTCAAAAGCCTTGCTGACATCAAAATGTCCTCAAGTTGCACTAGGGGAAGTCTACATTGAATATTAGGAAAAAATTCTTCACCAAAAGGGTTATCAAGCATTGGAACAGGCTGCACAGGGAAGTGGTGGACACATCACCCCTAGAGAATTTAAAAGACATGCAGACGTGACACTGAGGGACATAGTTTAATGGTGGACTTGGCAGTCTTAGGTTCATGGTTGTACTTGATGATCTTAAAGATCTTTTCCAACCTAAGTGATTCGATTATTCTATTTTAATTTTTCTTATCTGGAGTCAAAATATACATCTGGAAAGTCACGTAGACAGAGGCAGTCGGTCCTGAATGCTGTAATTCAGTCACAGGCCAGGGTACTTGGTAGGGAACAGCTCACACCAAACCTGTCAGTACATAGGGCTGTGTTTCTAAAACACACCCAGCTCCTCTTTGCCTGTAGTTACAGGTACATCTTATTCAATCACTGCAAACCCAACATGAAATGTGCCAGTATTACCTAGTTTAAGCCTTTCCCTTGCAATTTCCCACTTGCTGGCATCATAAGGTAGACGTTCACACTGCTCATCTAAGGGGACTTCATCAGGATCCATTATGATTGACAGATAATGGTTGGTCTTCATTTCGGAGGAATAAGGCTAGAAAACAAAGAATATCGCACAATGAAAAAGAGGAAAAGGATGTCTGTCAGCATCTTCTTCTTTGGATCAAGGGCTTCAGATTAATTCTGTCCATGGGGCTACATGTTTCAAAGTGCAATAGATGGTTTGGTTAAGCTCCCTTTGGCTTTTTTATCTCTTGCAAGACTTTTTGTGTAAAAGAAAGCCCTTCCTGTAGCTTTCCTTTCTATGTGACGTATCGGTTTCTTCAATGAAATCCATGTGGAACTGTATTGGCATACAGTGTTATGATACAGGCCCTTTGCACAGTCAGAAGAAATATTTTCAGCAAATGACTAAACATTTCTGCTGAAAATAACTTTCCTTCATGATTGTGCAAATCAAGAAGTGGCCATATGCAACAGATGGAGTTCAAGTCCCAGTGTTTGTTTTTCCGTATACCCAGCAAAGACAGGTCATATGTGGTTAGAGGTTGTGCAAGACCAGTTGTCAGGAGACTAGGCATTATACATTCCAAAAACTGCTTACAGATTTTCAGAATTTTTGTTTCTTCAGTATCACCTCTGATAAATTTACTGAAATTATTTGAGTTTGGAGGAATTTATAAACACCCAGACTCAAACATTATTTCAAATTAATATGAATGAAGTTCAGTTTCTACTGAGCAAGTGGATTATCTACTTAACAAAAGAAATGTAAGGAAAGAGGAACCTAATCTCAAAGTTTTCTGCAATCTGTCCGTTTTGAAACATACTTTCCTTCAAAGAGCACCTAGATTACCATTCTAATCCACTGGACTTTTCTTGACACATATATGTACACACATGTGTACTCATATTTCTACAGAAAAGGTCTAGTGCTTGCTCTAATTTCCTATGAACTGGAATTTATGGCAAATCTGTTGAACTAAGCCTCTTCATGTTGCTTTTCCTAAACTCATCAAAGCCACACATGGGCACAGAAAAAACCCACACAAGTATACATATTTTTTTTCATTGCTTTAGCTGCCTTCTGTGACTTTCAACTTCCCTCCTCTACAGCTTGCAAACATGTCCCTGATACACGTGTCTCCAGACATCAGCTTGAGAAGGATATTACTGGATATGTGTGTCTGGATTACAAGCATAATGAGACTACCATGACAGCATCTAATTACTCCTGTTTTAATTGCCTTTCACCATCTCAAATAAACAGAAAGTTAGTCCCAAGAAGGATTGCACTGTTGCAGCTGCAATCCTTCTTGGAAAGAAGCTGGGAAAAGTCACAAGGCATAATGCCTGGCTCCAAACCACCCACTGACCCTGGACAGGACATGGGTAAGTGGCATATGGATAGAAACAGAAATGTGTGGTGGTCAAAAAAAAAGTCTTGTAAGATGTGTATGTACCAAACTGCTTCTAGCAGTCACTTTAGAAGCGCTTGTAAGTGGACCCATCCCAGAAAAAGCAACAGGGCAGTGGGAAGATGGAGAGAACTGCCTACAGTTCTTTATTCAGATGCACTGAATACCAAATCTTCGGTATAATTTGGGACTGGAAACAACTTTTTGAATGATGAAGAAATATTAAGTATCTAATTCGTCCCTGTATGAGTCACAGGCTTTAAGAAAATGCTCTCAGAGAGCACACAAGTATTTTTTTTTCTGTTGTGGTAATGTAGTTTGTATATTAAATTTAATTTAGAGCTAATTCCATACATAAATCTTAGACAGTAAGGGTTTGTAATAGAAACCCATAGAAGACCATAAACACAGACCAATGCTAGGTGGAAAGGTTCATCTGGAAAAGGGTCCTTCACATGTCATCTAGTTAAAGTCCCTTGTTCTACAGCAACAATTATTATATTTATTGTCTTTTAACAATCTAACAAGCACATGTGAAGTCTTGGTATCATAACAAATAATAAAAAAAAAATCTCCAACTCTTTTCTACATTTAAGATGTATATTTTTCAATGGGTTTGCAGTCCCATTATGAGTTGCTTCATCATTACTGGTGAGCAGTCAGAACTGATCTCACTTGCTTTGTGATTTCTCTTACAGCTACAGTTTCTCCACAGTTTCCACTGACCTCTACTTTCTTTCCCCCAAAACTCCCATGCATGTCTCCTAACAAAAGCTGGTGGCAGTAGGAAAGCAGGCAGAGTGGCTGCTGCCATACTGCCTTGGTTTGGCAGTCTGGTCCTGCTTTCCCATCAGCTGATTGAATTTCTCAGTGTAAAACCTAAGGCACAGGCAGGCCTTAATGCAGGTTTAGGTAAAATGGTCTGGTGGCCTGCAGCCAAGCTTTAGCAATCATCATGGAGCTTGGCTAGCTGGAACATGCTCAGCTGTTGGCAGCTGTGAGCAGATCCCTGTGGCACCATGCTGTGGTACCTCTCGGACTGGACAAAGGAAGGCAGCTGGGGCTCAATGCTGCTGTGGTGTGGGAGCTGGGGAGAGGGGGGCACACAGCTCTCCCTCATCTCATGTCCTGCAGTGCACCTGATTGCTCCAGTACCTCCCTTCCCTTAAATCCATCTGCTCCTGCAAGTTGCTCTGGGATCTTTCTGCACTACTGGGGAATTGTATTTTCTGCTTATGAGAGCTGCTGTGGTTAAACCTGCCCACACCATGCAGTGCAGGCATGGTGCTTTGAGCAAAAAGGTGCTTTAAGCCACCACAGGCAGCATGGGACAAGAAGGAGGGTCAGCTGCAGGGGCAGTTAACATTATCATGCTGATACAGGACCATCTGCTCTAGAGGCTGAACCACCAAAACTGCTTCAGTAAAACATCACTTTGGAAGTGATGTAATTACAGTAGACACTGTGCGCAAACCAGACCTCAGTGCTCTGTGAAGATCTATCATTCCCACTCACTCAGATCTTCAAAGACTTTCAGATGCCAAACCCTCACAGCTTTTAAGGGAATGGGTATGCCTTTGGTGGGAGTAAGGCACTCAGATGCTTGCAAGTCTCAGAGCCTTTGCTTCCTGGCTTACTCATACACAGCCTTGCAATTCACAGTTCCTTGAGCACCCATCACCAGCCTGGTGATTGCACAGGGAACAAAGCTGAGCAGTAAGTAAAACATGTTTGTTTGTTTGTTTGTTTTGAGAGAGACTCAGGAATCCCAGTAGCCTGGGAAGTATTTTCTAACACATGCAAAGGGCTGGTAAGGAGATGCAGGTGCCACTGGGAGCTCCCAGTCTGTTCTTACCCTCTTCAGCTTGCGAATGAAGAGGGTCAACAGGAGCCAAAAGAGCGTTGCAGCCACGCAGGTACAGGTCAGAGTTATTAGCTCCAGGTTTGTCCTCTCCGATGTGCCTGGGAAAATCAAGTGGCAAACATTTCAGAAAATGACCTGCAAAGCAAGGGCACTTTATATTTCTTTGCCATTAAAATAAAATACCAGGAAGGACCAGCTTCTTTTCAATGGGATATTAATCTCTGCTTGGACTGCCTCAGAGTCTGGAAAAAAAACAGTCTCCCCAGCAAAGCCATTGTACTGAACACTGTAAAACTGCGTTGGATCCATCTCTAAGTTTTTCAGTAAAAAATCAGCTCTTCTTTAGGGTGCAGGAGGTAAAGTAAATCAGATTGAGGATGACCAGTCAGATAATAATTTCCTTCTGAGGTGGAAATTCAGCTGCAGGGTATTTTTAGCCAAATTTTCTTTGTGTGAGAATGTGTGTGGGCCTGTGCGTGCAATTTCATCACCCTCCTCCTACAACAGTGAAACTCATCTGGCCAAGCCCACATCTGAGAGAGGAGCAGAGGTCTTGAAAACGCTCACTTCCCGGCAGCCTCTGGAGAGGACAGAGCTGTGTGGAGGGGAAGGCTCTGCCGGTCCTTCCCCAGGAGTAATGCCATGGTGTGAGAGCTGCTGCTAAGGCACAGGAGAAGCTCTACGGAGGGCTTGTGCTGGTGTAGACACTGGTGACACCAGCTGAGACTCAGGGCACACTGTAGTGCTGCTGTTTAGGTTTTGCTGTCTAGGATGTTTGATGCCTTCCCTTGGGCACTGCAGCTGCTCTGCCCCAGCTCAGTGAGGTCTTTCATGTTGACAACTGAGCCTTGCAGCCCACACCTCCATCCCAGCCATGCTGGAAATACACCAGCCTACATCAAAGACCTCACTGGGAGAGAGATGGGTCCTCCCTTGGAGGCTTGTGGTGCAACCATCAGGAATCTGTGAGATCTTCCTCTCATAGTCTGGGTGGATCCAGTCTGGCACCTGTAAGCTCGGCTCATACAAAGCATGGCATGGGGGTCTTGAACCCCATCCACACTCTGCAGAGCTCTGGGTTGTAGGGTCTAGCAGTCCCTCCAACCTGTTGGTCCCCTAGCAGGCTCTGTGCCCTCAGGTGTACTGCTAGTTGCACCAGCAGCACAGGGCCAGGCCCCACAAGGGCTATGGGACTCTCTCTTTCCCCAGCAGCACTCTGCACAACCTGGCTGTCGGGGAGCTGGGAGAGCTCTCCAAATCAGGCAACAGATTAAGCACAGAAAGGGAAAATCAAAACCAACAAGGACTGAAAATGGAACAGCAAGAAAACATGAAAATTAGAATATTAGACCCTACTGACAGATCTTTAAAAAAAGCCAAAATAAAATTCACTTCAGACTGTATTCAGGGAATGGTCAAATGGTGTCAGAGCAGTCTAGGCTGTAAATCCTGTGATTGTGTAAAAATACTTCCCACAACATGCTTTCCACTTGTTTGGCAGCAAGTGCAAAAAAAAAAAAAAAACCCTCATGCTCTGCCTCTTATTCTGATAGACCCTCCAGAGAGAGAAAATGAGAGGACAAGGAGGAGTTATTCTGAACACGATCTCACAGTAGTTTTGTCGGCTGCACTTGCATGAGTTTCAGCCCCCATGCAGCTCTGTGTTACTCCTGACACATGGAAAAGGGGTGACTGATGCTTTGCTGGTGGCCTTACCAGGTAATGCAGAGGGAGGTACTGCCTGGCTTTAGGCAAGGCTGAAGAGCTTTGTTCAGAGGTCCAACTGCTTCCTGTAGCCGTAGCTTAACTAGCATAATACCTTCCCTCTCTAAAGGTGGGAACCAGATCTGCCCTCTGTCTAAGATTCCTTTGGCATGTCCATTCTGGAGGTTTGGGAATAAAGCTCATTGGAGAAAAAATATGTCTGCAACTACAAACGGAGATATAAAGTATCTATTTCTCCTAAATATCAAGCATGTTAATTTTTCACAAGTATTTTTTTAAAGGCTTGATTTAGATACAGGACATAGTGATGGCAAAATTGGTACAGCCTAATGCAGCTTCCCTATCCTCTGGCATCAGGCCTTCCTTTTACATATGGATCCTCTCCGTTTGCTTCTAAGCAGCACCCATGCAGATGGTAAGTAACAGTTTCTGACATTTATTCATTAAAACCTGGAGGGACTGGAGGGTCATTTGTTGTCCCTGCTCCATATGGCAGGAGTCAGAAAACCTGTGAGGCATGGTACAGCCAGTCCTGGGTGGAAAGCAGCAGCTCCCTAACCACTGCCATATGCTGCCCATGGGTTAGTGAAGAGATGTGAAGGTGATGTCTTTGAAATGTCTGAGCAAATTCAGGAGACCAGAAAGCTTTTCTCCAGGCTGGGGCTAGGCTGGGTTATCAAATGCCAGATGCCTAGTCTTGCTAAAAGCCCTGCAGCCAGAGCTGTCCAAGTGCCTCTCGGCTGGGTAGGAAAAGGTTTGATTTGAGACAGAACAGGCAGAAACACTCAGAAGAGGGTTTATGATTAGCAGAGTTTGCAAAGGCTGCAAGCAGTGCTAAATGCCTCTCTCTGCCCAGTAGCCCACGATTTCTGGGCTCACCCTTATGCCCCTCCCAGACCTTCACCCACCAGCCACCTCACAGACTTTCCCCTGTATGCAGCTCTGCCCCACCTGCCTGACTCGCTGTGGCAAGCAGCAGCCCCTTCCTGCCCCAGAGCCCCTCTGAAAGCCCCCTCTGCACTCTCCTGTGTCTCTGCAGTGCTGCAGAGGGGTGAGGAGGGGGCAAGTGAAGAAGTGCCTCTGGCAGCAACTTCTCTTTCTCAACAGTGACTGGAACCACCAGGCCCATACAGGCGTGTGGGGACAAGAGACTGGACTAAGGCACTGACCCCTCCAGGCAGGAGGTCAAGCCTTGGCTGGCGTAGGCTCTGTCACTAGGATTTCAGCTCTAAATATGGAGGTGTAGCTCCATGTCAGCTGTCAAACAGGGAAAAAGCAATGCCTGGGGCATGAACACCCAAAGGTCTGCTGCACCCAAAGCACCCCTCACCACTTCACCAATGTGATCTACCCTCCTTAATCTGACTGATCCCATGATGAGCAGTGAAGCACTGGGATAGGTGCTCAGAAATGCCAAGGAATTTCCATCCTTCCAACTCCCTTTGGTGGTTCTCTGAGGTAAGAGGAATCTAAATGTTGGATGTTCACCTTTTTTTCTTACAGTCTCCCACATAACCCAGGCTGAACCTCATTCAGTAGCCAAGGGAATTCCAGTCAGACTTCATGGAAATATTCCTGATGGTTTCAGAGTCAGTGACTCAAAAGGCACAACAACCTTTTGAGATACAAAGTCAGAATGGTAGATAGATAGAAAAACAGTTATTTAAAAAGCAAATACCATTTTCATACTGTTGGAATAGATTGGTGAATGTTTTGTAAATGTTATGCTTTCCTTTTAATCAGCGAGGATCACAAGTTCTCAAGCACCAGCTTTAAGACAGGGCATGTTGCTGTATTCCTTTGCTTGTTATACACCTGAATTTCATTGAGCAAGTGCTGTAAAAGATGCTCCTTCCCTTATCAACAGAATGGTTTGTCATGAAATGGTGCAGCTCTGCTGCAACTAGCTGTATTTCTGGCTCCTGCTGTGGGGGGCTGTGAGGGTCCCCAGAAGGAGAAGCAGGGCAAGGCTTTTTTGTCAAGTCATCCACTCAGTGAGCAGGGTGACCTCCCAGAGGAGAGCTGCCCAAACCAGCTTGTGTTTTCCCTGTGCCCAGAAGCTTGTGTCCCCGGGCTTTTAGGGACACGCTCCCTTCTGCCTGCTGGGTGCTCTGGCAGCCATTTGCTGTTCCCATCCTGAACTTGCAGATGCAGTGCCTCTTCAGTTCCTCGGCCAAGAGCGAGCGGGTAGCTTGTTCTGACATGTCAACAAACATGGCCCCTCTCCTCCTCAGACAGCCCAGCAGGCACAGCTTCCAAACCAAACATGGGCTGCAATTATTTAAAGACATCCCTTTGATTCCACCATCCATTCATCCATCTCAGATACAAAAATAACACATTGTTTTATCTGTGAGCATAAGAATGTTTTTTCAGAGGAAATAAAGAGAGCAGACAGTTTCCTTCCTGACTCATTCACAAACTACTCTTCCAATCTGCTAAACACAGCCATCCACACGAGGCACTGCTCTGCTCCCTTTGATCTGCAGCCCCATGCTCAGAGAGCCACCAGGATGGAGGGAAGGCTTTGGTGCTGTGCTCACTATTTCTCAGAAAGACAAGGACCTGCCAAAGCCTAGAGAGAGGCCCATGTTTCAACCCTGATCTCGTCCCTCCAGGCTGAGGGGTGGGGTGAGAGGCTGCTGTTCCCTGGGAGAGGGACAGGTACTCCAGATCAGTGTAGGAATGAGTGAAAAAAACTCCACTGACATCCTTTCATGTAGCAGGAAGAGAAAGGGTGGAAAGGCATTTTCCTTGATCATAGTAGATGAGAAAAAACCTCTCTTTTTATCATCCAGTCTCGAAGCTATACATTTTAACATTGTAATCTTCATCTCCTGCTTATTTAAGAGCTCCCACAGGAGACGCACAAGAACATTGCCAGTGGTCCCTCAACACATGTAACCAGAGAAGCAGCCTTCCTGGCTGCTCTGTTTTCTCTCCTCTGGATCATGGACTAGGAGGTATGACTTCCTAGAAGCCATCTGACAGAATGCTTGTGGTTGTAATAAATAGCCAACTACAATGATGCTAAAAATCAATACAATAATGAATGACATTGTCCAGGACTATCAATTAGTAGGATGCATTGGACAGCAAGCACTTGGGCACAAGTTATTCTTTTAGCTGTTCTAGCAGCTGGACAAACCTTAGCATTATCCATAAGGAGACAGACATTTTAACTCCTTGATTACACGAGTTAGGGCAGTCCCCATGTAGATATACTTATCCCTGACCTTTTAAAGCAAAAGCATCATTGTATCATCAATGATCACCATTAACTGAGACTGCTAACACACCCATGGCAGAAAATCAACACTGATTTACTGGCTGCAGTTGTCTTCTGCTGTAGGCTAGTATTCAAAAGCTTAGGGGTACTCACATACCTTTAACAGTTTTATGAGACCATCTACAAAGACATAGTCCCTGCCTGAGAGACCTGATGGAAGTCAAATTGTCTTCTATAAGGAGAAACTAAATGCATTTAGGACTATTAACTTAAAACATGAGATCAATAAGATAGGTTATGTCAAATTCAGTACATACATGTCACTGACACACACACAATATCAATCTACTTTTCTTAGCTCGTGATATGTGACCGAAAAGGGTATTCAATGAAACTGAAAAGACACTGAACAAATTTCACTTTTATGCAATGTAAAATTACTTGATAAAAGTCACTGCCACAGTCTTGAGTCAAGCTTGGCGGAAGGTAGAACTCTGAACATCTGAAGGAATAGCAAAATAACTCCAGTAATGGTTACAGAAGTAACTAGATCATACCTACTCCTTACAACAAGTAACTCTGAAAAATGCATGTGTAGCTATCACTAGGCTAAAATCTTCTAGCCTGATTTGGCAGCTCACTTTACACTGAAAATAAACAACTCAAAAGATCCCAGGCCTCTAATTTCTATGGAATTGACCTGAAATGGGAAAATGAGTGAGCAGGAGAATGTTGCTTATTCTGTTTTTTGTTTGTTTTGACAATACTAAATTTACATGTGTCTTCTACCCTGACCTGATCTTTGTTGGGTTGAAGCAATTCTTCTTTTCAGGTCAGTGTAAACACGGTCTGAGTTAGCATTTCCTGCTAGGCTTCCTTTCCAACCTGGTACGCTTCCCTTGCTAGGACTTCCTTCAAGCTGCTGCCTTCAGAGATCACCACAAGTCATGAGTCCTAAGCCATACCTCTGCCCTTGCAGCCTGAGTGGGAACATCACCCTAGCAATCTTGCTCTTCCCATCTACCGTTGTACTTTACCTTGCACCGTGACATACGCTGCACTCTCCACAGACCCTTTTAAGTTGGTGGCTATACATTGGTAAAGTCCTTCGTCCTCCTCTTTTACTCTTTCAATAAACAGCATTCGGCTTCCAGGCCCTAAAATTACTCCTGTGAAATGAAATATTTTGCAATGAGAGGGAGACAGCATATAAACAAAAACAGGTCCTTGTGTAATAATATCTGCTTTATGTGCCTTTCAGAAAAAATCTGAACCACAGACTGAGCAGCACAACGTTATCTGCAGGAAAGCCAAATATACTTGGATGTTTTGGATATTTTTTGGAAAACAGTGTTTACAAAGCACTTGTGTGAATGAAAAAGCTCAGCCCAAGGGAAGGATCTTGGGAGCACTTGGTACTGTATATATTGATTAGCACTCTGATTAGATTTTCATCCACGTGAGGTTTTCAGCGTGTCTCCAGATTTTGGGAAATGGGTGGTCTGATTACTGCACTTATAGGCATAGGTCTGCCCCAGAAGCAGCTCAGGCTAAGAAGAGTTCCAAGCTCCAGCTTCCTGCATACACACTGACCTCATGGGCAGCAGACTCACTCCAAATCTCACTTGTCCATGTGGAATGGAACGATGGGCCCCTTCTCAGAAGGAACCCAGCTAGTGCAAAGTGAGATCCCATGAGGTATACCCTAAAATACAGGAGATACCTGAAGTTTTCAACATTTTGTTTATTTCAGCTAGATCAACCCAGACGCCAGTCCGGGCAATCCTCCAGCAAGCAAGGAAGGGGCAGAGAGCAGACTTGATCTAAGGACTGCCTCTAAGGCACTGTGTAGCCAGGAAATGTGCAGTCAAGTACACTTGTGTGTTTGACTCCATCAGAACTACTGTCTCACCAAAACGTATTCCCACCATCTATTTCAGGCACCTAACTAAAGTGCTCTGACCTATCCTCTAGAGACGTCTTCCTGGCTCCTGGCTTTATGTGTTGCATTATACCCAAGCTAGACACATAACATTCATTTTAGAAGATAGTGTTAATAATGCACATTACAACAATGTCATCACTGTAAACCTTCAGGGAATCTGGCTCTAGATTAAGTTTAGTGCCTGGGCTGCAACTCTACAAAGGCTTATAACTCACTTGGAGTAGTTCTCAATTCTTGCCAGTTGCCTTTATTCTTGCTACAATAATTTCCAATAATGAAGGACAGAGGCAGAAACAAAAACTTTCTAAGATGTTGTTATTGAAGACTACACTTAGGATTCAAGTCCCTATATGTCAAATCTCCTTGAACATTTTTGCTGAGCCTGTAACACTGGTTCATTGAGTGCTTCTGATCCAAAAGTGGATGAATTCCCATGAGAAAAGTTTTGCCTTTTCCCCTGTCAATTATCTCTCCTTGAAATCTCTAAGGAACTATCCCGTGGTTGTGGTGTCAGCAAAAGTGGACATGTAGCCTTAGCTGAGCTTTGAAGCCACATTTCAGACACAGTAAAAATGTCCCAAAGTCTTCCTGTAGCTACAGCATGCCACATGGGAAGCTGTTCCTTTCTGCTGCATGAGACCTGGATCCTTCTGCTGCCAGCAGGCACATTTTGGCTTTGGACACTCCAGATATGGATTTAGTCTGGTGGCTAGGTTGTGAATCAAGAACAGACTCTGCATGCCTGAGCACAGACTTCCCCTGGGACTCCCACATGTCACACAAGCTTGGTTTTCTCCTGCCTGGCTCTACATTGGCCAAGACACCTGATCCTCAGGCTCCCTCTATAGTAAATGAAGAGAAATATATTTCTCTGGAGACAACTCATCTAAGACATAAATTGAGAATTATTTTTTTCCACTGGCTCCATAGAGACCCGTTGCATCCACACCTCTAGCCTAGATGAGGTTTTGGAGTGAGACATAATAACCTGGAGCACCCATGTTGCTGCAGTGCCCAGTCAACGTTCCTTCCTTACATCAGTACCGGTGCCAATGGCTCTGCAAATGGCTACCTAAGGCAGAGGGGTGGATGAAAAGGCTGTAAAAGGTAGGTGAGTACACAGAGATCTCACCTGATTCTTGCTGTATTTCCTCATGATTTTTAAACCAGGATATCTGGGGCTCAGGGATGCCACGAACCTGGCACTCCAACATGGCAGAGCTACTGGTGTTCACTGTCTGATCCGTAAGGTGCCGCAGAAGTGCCGGTGCCTCTTGAGCTACAAGACAAAACAACACCTCCATTTTACATTCTTGTAACTGTGGGGGTTTCATTATTTTCCCTACCGTCATTTTACTGATATTAGAGATTGTTATGACTCTTCTACCAAGTTCATCATTCACAGGTTTTATTTACTGTTCCAGTCTGCCTAAGAACATTTAGTGGGTACAGAGTACTCCTGTTACTCAGCAGGTTATGATGACCAGTGAAGACCAAATGATGACATTGTTTAAAAGATTTCCTCCGTTCCATTACCAACCACATTTGTTTAGTGAAAGCAATGTGTTCAGTTTTACATGATCAGGAGAAACAAACTGTGACACCAAAGTTTTTAACCATTAGCAGGACATCCTTGTAGCAGAGTATCTCTGCATCACTGATAATACCACACGACTGTACACCACAATACCAGTGAGTGTGACTTTCATCATTTACTTACTTTTAAGAGTACAGTTACAAATCATGTTCAGTAGCTCACATCATCTAAACCCAGAAACCATAAGCACAATAGCATTGTGATACATGTCCCAAAGTCTTCATAAATTCTTCCACTTTTGCATTTCACATATTGGGCTGAACTCAGCAAGGCCTGGCCAAACCACACCACAGCCTGCCTGCCAAAACTGCGCTGGTGAGAAATATGTCTGTGGCCCCTGGTATTCCACAGACACTGGAAACCCTGGTGGCAGGGGCCAAAGCTGCGTAGCCACAAACAGGCCACACAGCATAGCAACACCACTCTTGTTTTACTTTTATCTACTGGCATTTGTAGGAACACAGTGTAAGAAAATATTTCCATCACAGTCCGTGACAATGAGCACTGGAAGCGCAACTCATCTGTTCAGCTTCTGCTGAGGGCCTCCCAGAAGGGCATTTCAAAAACACTCTATGAATGTCATGTTAAAGTCAGCCCTGAAAGACGCAGACCGGTTAATCTTTCTCGTTGCTATTTCTACCCTTTGCCATTGCTTCCCCCATTTCATACAGACTCAAGGGCTGCTTTGACAAAAATCAAGATATTCATTACATTTATGCACATTATATGGCAACACCCTTCTATCACATTTGGAGCTCTTGAATCATCCTTTTTGATCCTTTGGTCTCTTTAAAACAGTGATGGAGAATTCAGGGAGCTCCTGAGCAATCTTACAGATGCAGATGCTCTGCAGATTCCCTTAAATTCCCCAGTCTTGCAAGAATGGATTATTTGCAATCTTTCACTTCAAGGACACTGCCAGGATCAGAAGTTACTAACATGGTATAACACACATTACAAAACATAAAACAAACCAAAGCAAAGCAGAAACAAACTCTTTGCAAATATTTTCTTTTAGACCATTTTAGACCAAGTTAAAGTATAATATCAGCTAAATTTATGACATTCTGTGTTTGGAGAATTTGTCTCCGTCCCTTCAGAAAAACTATGAGACATTTCCATCTTCACAATCATTCTGTTAACAGCTGTAAATAAAAAGTCTCCAGAAAAATTAAACATTTATGCACCATCGGCTTATGCAGTTGCATGAACCCTGTAGCACTAAAAGCACTTTTAAAGTAAGCTATCTCTGCTATGCTCTTACCCCTTGAAATTAATTCCATTAATTATGACACCACAACTATCCGTTTGGGCTTTTCTGAGCTGCAAGTCCGTAATTTCCACTGGCAATATTATTTTGTTCACAGTGTAGTAGACAATTTGTTCTGTCTTCCCAAATAGTAATGCTCTTGAGGGAGTCTGTAAAGTAAACTCTTCATCCCAGACCTACACAATATTTGCCTTGCAGCCAAGAAGACTGTTCTCTTCTCATTAATACCTCAGCTCGATTTTTTAACAGTCCTCATTTTCCACAACTCTCTCTGCAAACAGGCACCACCTGATGCACGTCCATATATGCAAGCTGAGAAGAGGTCCTCAGTTCACATTTATCAGCAGGCCCTGGTGGACACCCCAGCCCAGACATCCAAAATGAAGGTGGACAAGATGACACAACAAAAGCAAATCACACATTCTGTGATTTATTTGTTATTAATTTTAATTTGTTTGTAGCCATACACTAAAGATGGGTTTTCATATTAAGAAAGACTTGTTTTGCTTAAAACTTAAGTCACCATTCATATAGTTTCAATATTTTCTCTGCTGCAACAATCTGATTTTTCAAGGACTTGGGTCAACCTGAGGATTATTCTCTTTTGCACATCATCTGTTCTCTCCCATTAATCTTTGCAGGCAAGCCAAGGGGGCCAGTTTCCAAAGTCCTGCTCCACTCACCCTGAAGTCGAGGGGTTGCCCTGGCCACCAGCATGCCCAGTGCAGGGCTCAGCACACGGTGCAGCCCCCAGGCTCCTCCCCAGCCCTCGTGCCTGCCCGCAAATGCTGTCTTGCTAGGCCAAACTCTGCTCTCAGTTACCTCAAGGAACTTCATTGTAGGTAGAGTTTGACTCAGGGGAGCGACAAGGGAGTCACAGAGGGGAGCAGGGGACACTGATGTCCGCCCACTCAGCCGGCCCAGGATGGTAAGGAGGGAAAAATTGTGCTTCCAAAAGCAAACAATGGCAAACAAGGGGAAAACATTACAATTTGTTCACTTTCGGGTTTACTGTTGCATTCCATCCATTTTTTTCCCTTTGTTATATTGTCTGTTCACTTAATTTTATTAATCAGTACAAAAATATAAGTACAAGCTTTAATTTTAACACATTAAAAAAAAAAAAGAAATATAATTCACACCTTTCTCCCTAAATAATATATTACACAACAGAAGGCAGAGAAACGCCCCAAACCGATGAGATTCTCCAGTCATATGAGGACACCAAAAGTGACATCAGTAGTTTTTGTCTGGACACCAAGAACTGCTTTCCTCAAACGTTTCCAGTGAAGTTTCTCTGTGTCTCTCAACGTGGGCAGCCACATAGGGATGTTAGGACATCCTTGCACTGTATGGCCCTCCAAGTGCTGGTCGAGACCAGGCTAGTAGGACGTCCACCCAACAGTGTTCCACATCATTGCAATTCACAACAATTTCACAGAGGAACAGTCTAAACGCCACAACTCTTTTTTTCTCTTTTCTTTTCTTTTCTTTTTTTTATTTGTACCCAAACTCTTATTGCCTGGCAACTAGCTGCTACAAATCATCATGCTCTGTCTGCCAAAGCCATGGAAAATTCATAATGTCCTGTTATCACCGCTCAACTTGCCATCAAATGTCTTCCCACAAAACAGCCTTGTAAAAAAGGGGATTCTGTATTGTAATTCTTCTGAAGACTTGCAAATGCCAAAGAGCATTTGCCCCATTTTTAAGCAGTCACCAATGATTTCACTTGCTTTTTAGGCATGTTTTAGAAAAAAAGAGACCCAGATCCCTTTGCAAGAACACATTGTTTTTTGGAAGCCATCACACTAATAATGAACAAAAGAGCTACTGTATACAAGCAGGCTATAGGTGACATTTCAAAATATAAATGATTATTCTTTTCTTTACTCTGACAACTTCCAGGTTATCAATTGTTTTCTAAGCATTTTAGAGTCCATGAAACTGGCATTATGGGGAAATGCTATTGTTTACCCTTTCACACTTGACAAAAGCAATTCCCACGTGAAAGACAAGTTTAGCCGTGGGACACAGTCTTGATACCTAAAGGAGGAAATAGTCTGGTGAGTTCCCAAGCGCAAGAAACTGTCATGTTGTCACCCTCTATTTTAAAAACACAGCCACTTTGTTCCTTTGCTGTAACTATTTTGGTCACCACAGTCTGTTTAGTTATGGCTTATGTAAATGCTATATAAATGATCAATCATAAATGTAACCAAAAATAATAAAACCTATGTATTGTAAAAAAATAAAGTTATCAGATCTATTAAAAATAGTAACTTCTTCCTTATACAGAATTTATAACACACAGAAACATCTCATAGCAAAATCACGAAGAAGGAAAAAAAAGGGGAAACGCTCACAAGGAAATCTTAGGTTGCCCTTAATTCTCCTTCAGCAGGCTAGTTGATTCTTAATCCCCATAATAAATCCAATTGACATTTGCATACCAAAAGCAACGAATATTTTTAATGGTTTCAGTTTGGAATTTGTATTTTTAAAAACGTATTAAACAACTCTCTGTGCTGGCTGCAACCTTGTCAGTTGGGTTAGCATAATATTTCCCATTTAATAAAATAATTACAACATTAGAAATACCTGAATCTTCAGGCCAGGAGCAATACTCACACTTTTATCAGTAGTTTTTTACATTAGTGCAGAGCTGACTTTAAAAATTGACCAACACAGCAACTGGAAGTCTACCTGGATTTATTTGGAGAAACACGGTTCACGTCTGTCAGTTTTAAAATCATAATTATTGTAAATTATATGCTAGGTCTGTGCATTATAACAACATTTTTATTTCTTCCCTGCATACTTCTTTTAGAAGGTATTTTTTAAGATTAATGTACTTTAGTGTAGAAAATAATTTCAAATAAATAAGCATTAGAACTTGCTCAGCAGGTAATATTTATAAGTCCATCAAGATCAGATTAAAATAAAAAATATATAGTCCAGTCAATTTCAAACTGAATTGTGCTCACTCCGCACATTCAAATTAACTTATTAAATGTCCATTGTTGACTGAAAACAGCAGTTTTTAAAGTTAATCAGTTTATTCAGCTTTGACACTTTTGATGAGGCCGATATCAAAGTGGAAGAAAAGATTGATCCAAAGTTTTCCTTATCGGTCAGTAGGAGACAGCAAGAGAAAAAATAACATGCAAAATGTAGCACAGGGGATCTTCCAAACCCCAGCTTCCACGTGCCTTGTCAAAGCAGAAAACACCCGTCTGAACTCAACCGGAAGCTCACGCGTTACGATTTTGTTTGCTATTCCTCCTATGTCCAACCCGTGGGGGAATGTGCACCACCTCAGGGCCTGAAAAGTAGCAACAGTAATAAAAAATCAAGATGATATGAGACACCTGTTACTGTTTAATGAGTCCTTTAATGTTTTACATTGCTTTGTGTTGTACAATCATTCCTTGTGCTTTTAGATTTGAGGATCCGAGAGTAAACAGCCTTTTTGTTGCAGTGCTCACCTCTGATTGTAACGTCTTTCTTTTGAAGCACTTCTTTCCCCGTGTATATGTTCCTTGCTCGGCAGGCATAGGTGCCCGAGTGTGCCAGGGAAACGTTCTTGATGGTCAGAGTGAGGGTGATGGAGTACTCCCTGTTGAGAGACCTTCTTGCTCTCGTTTGATTGTTGACCGTCCTCGGTAAAATCCAGGCGATGTCTTTGTACAGGAATTTGTTGGCCGAACAGGACAAGATCAAATTCTCTCCTTCAATGGGCATTTTTTCCAAACTAATATGGAATCCACTTGGTACGTCTGTCAAAAATTAAGAACACTTTTTAGTTTATATAAAATGAATGAGCCAAAATTAACACGGCATATATTTTCCCCTTTATCAGGAAGCCTTTGAACTAGTCAATGTTTGCTGAAGTCTCTAATCTTCCCTTTCATATGCTAGGCTCCAGCTATCCTTTTAATATGTCTTGGAGCCACTAGACACTTGGGCCCAGACATCAGCTGGTGTAAACTGAAGTCACTCTTGGAAGTAATGAGTTTGTATAAATGTTATGCCAAGTTAAGACAGATTGGAGTGAGGTACCAAAAGCAGAATTATTTGACAGCACAGTGGGACTTTGAAAAAGGAGGAAAGTTCTGATCTCAGCTCCAGCTTCTGAACTGCATGAGAGAAAATGAATCTCAAGAGGACAGTAGGAAAATACTGCAGTTTATCATGCTTGGTTATGTTTTCTTGTTATCCATAAATCTGCAGAGAAATTATGTCTATTTCTTAAAAATGCTTCAAATCCTGGTAAATTACTGAATCTGTGATTAAACTCCTGAGATTTCCCTTCTAACATTATTTACTCTCCATGCATTTAAAGCATCAGCCACTCAAGAGGAAAGCAGAAACACTCTCTGGCCTGGGTGGCTGGCTGTGTGCAGGCAGCACTAGGATGAAGATCGCTCCACTCAGGCTGCTTGGCATTAAACACTGCTGAACAAGTTTTCCACCCAAGAGAAATCAAGGGTCATTGCACTAACCATTTACTAAGTGTAACTTGAGTTTTCACAAGGATTTTTCATAGCAGGTAGTTTGGGCAGGAATAATTTAGCCAACAATGTAAAAAGTCCTACTTGAAGAAGTCACGTTTGCTGTTCATTGTAACATTCCTGCAGCTTCCTCCACCTGTGGAGCGATGCAGACCCATGGCAGTGCTGACTGCTTCCAAGCTATACTCCACCTGGGGCTCATCTCTCCAGTGAGGGAGAGTTACACCACTGACCTTAGTAAAAGCAGAAGCAAGTTCCTGAGAGAAAATACTTTCAGGTTTTACTCCTAGAGTGCAACCTCTCTTGGTTTATTTATAGCCTATGTCTGATAAAGTAATTTCCTTCTCCTTGGTCAAGTGACATTGACTTTGGCCATTTCCATTTGTTCTTTCACTGTGAATTGCTATGGCACTTGGCTGTGAACTCAACTCAAAATCCTAAGAATAATTTCATGGTCTTTCATAAGGGAGGCTTATGCCTTCTTTTCTTGTCTCTTAGAGCATGAACAACCCAACGCTAACTTTCATTCAGTTCCATGTTTATCAATGTTGCCCTGGGTTTAACATCACATTAACAGGGGCGGGTAAAGAGTAGATCTCCCGTGAATAATGTCCCACATCTTCTTTCAGTAACTTCTTTAATTGATTCACCAATCCATCAGCAAGCTTCTCCCTAAATCCCTGCAAAACAAACTGAGCTGCCTTGCCACCCCAGAGGGACCATGAATATGACCTGCTCACTGCTGACTTCCAAAGTTCTGCCTGTTGAAAATCTGGAATCAGTTGGTTCCCCTAATATCCTCCTTTCCATACTTAGCCCTGAATGTTAGACACAGTGTAAAGGAGCTCCTCTAAGACCTGGATTGAAATCTCCTCTGACTGTAGATGCTTTCCAGGGAGAGGACTGATTTCTGTTGGTTGAACTCATCATGTCCTTGCAGTGGGAGAAAAGCGTGTGCCTGTCATCAGCTGGAGTTCAGGTGTGCAGTCCAAAGATCAGCCAAATGGAGTCAGTGACACTGAGACATTAGACCGGATGTTAAAGCTTGTGTGTTGGCTTGTTCCTCTTACATCTCACTGGGATCTCCTTTTTTGCTCTCTCCAGCAAGCAAAACTGTGACAAAACCTTTAAGTTTAGTGAACTCATCTGTGAGTGACTACCATCAGCATCCTTTTTGGTATATAAGAGAGCATGGTGCCAGATTCTGATCTCAGTGAAGAATATCTCAACTGGAAGTGCTACCAAGATGAAGCCTTTCCTTACACATTTAGCCTAAGCCATCAAAATGTAGACATCTACTTGTATATAGTTGTTTTCTGTATGGGCAGCAGTTTACAGCCCTTGGAGTGACACAGGCGTCTACAGAGCAACCCATTGCCTGAAGATGAGTCAAATTCCAGAGATCTTGATCCCTCACACTTAATTATGAAGAGATCTTACCTGACTAGATTAGGCTTAGGAATGTAACTTTAAAGCTGAAATTAAATGTATTGAATCCTATGCTTGATTTAGTTAAAAAGCAATGAATTCAGACACACTTGAAACCAGTCAAGGGTCCAAAGTTTTGATTGTAGGTAAGTATTTGGAGGAAAGAAATTGCTGCATATTATTCACAGGGCATCTCAAATCGTTCTGATATGTGTTAGGAAAGCCAGGGTATGGGCCAGAAATACTGGTAATTTTTGCCTTTTGCAGATGGCAGTACTCAGTAAAAGCTAGGAAGAGCCAAGCAAAACTCTTAAGATGAAACTAAAGATCCCCTGGGACTGAGGCGAATGAACTATTTTTAACGTAAAAGGATAGCGTGCCAACAGAATAATATAGTTGCAACTACTTCCATGTTGTCAGGTCTGGAGCTCTTCCTAGATGTGTATTCTGTGAAGAAAGGCTATTTTTCTGAATAAACCCAGGGACAAAAGCAAAATGCACAGGATTCCAAGAGAATAATTTGTTTAAAGGTTATGAGCCCCCTAATATATGACACCTCTCACCAATTGTTAAAGGCTCAGGCTAGCTAAATAACATGGCTGGGAATAATGTAAAAGGGTTCTATTTACTTTAGTGATTTGAAGCTTCCTGTGGAAATAGCTCCCAGGTTTCCTGATGGAAGATTTTGTTTATCTTTGCCAAGCACCATCAGGAATCTCAAAATAAAATGCGCTTAGTGACATTGGGAAACCAGGGAGATAAGGCAGAGCTGTTCCTGTTTCACCCTCTGTAATTGCAAACACACCCATGGCCCTGCTTTGTGCCAGCAAAACAGCCAAAAATCTAGGGAAAGGGGCAGGCTGAAGGGGAGGGGGCTACCACAGTTAAATTTGGCATAAAGGTGTTGTTACAGAGACTGTTTCCATATAAGCAAGCAGAACTTACAGAAATCACCTTTCTACATCGCTTTTATACAAGGCTCACAGCTACTTTTGTGCCTTGAACTACAATTTACTTGTAGAAACAAGTTAGTGTGAAAATATCCCAAAAAAGCCCTTCGTCTGACAGAGGCCGCAGGAAAGGAAGGCTACTCCAGAGTCCATGGACTACATGTCCTACACCCTCAGACACAGTGTATAAAATTATACCACTCTCAAACCTCCCAGAAACACATATGCACACTGCACTTCAAGCCCAGAAATACTGACATTTACAATAACTTAAAAGAGGGTTTGTTCTCACTGGGTCCTCTCTGCTATACCTTCTTCCACTTATTTCCTCACATCTAATTTTCTCTGAAGGCATGGAACATGCCACCACCAAATTAGGGTTGCTGGGACAAGCTCTGTCTTTCCACCATCCTCCCAACAGTTTCTGGCTATAGTAAAGAGACTCCTCACACCACCATGTGCTCCATCAGAGCACAAGCATTTTCTCATCCAGGTAAAGGCCTGAAAGAGATTGCCTCCACAGAAAGGTGTTCTTCCTGTGGAGGACAGACTTTGCCTCCATCTGCTCTTTGGAAAGCCTTCTGGCTTGTGCCTTCCACACAATGCAGCAGCTCCTCTTCCTACAAGTGATCACCTTCTGCTTAGACACTTCTCTTACTTTTAGACACTCTTGTGTGGTTCAGGCTGTCTTCATATGGCACCAGCAGACTCAACAGCATGAGATAAATCAGCCCCAAGCTGCCAAACAAGACCTGAAGTATTGGTTTTGGACTCATCAGAGGAAACACTTTGCAGTGTTGTGTTCACATCCATCAGCTTTTTTTTTTTTTTTTATTATTCCCCCAGTGTGTTTTTCAGCAAATGCTGGATGTGCTCGGTTCATTGATGTGAAACACAGGCTGCTACCCAGTCACAGCAGTTTGGTCTCAGCCTGATGGAGGAGAGCCATGATTACACCCTGCAAGCCCAACAGATGCACTATGTGCATAAAACAGAAGGCTGAGCCTAATGATTTTTGTAAGGACAAAACAGCAGCATTGTTTAAAACTGCCTTTAATCAGTGCAGCTAAGCGTCAGCAGATGATCAGGACTTTCCATGTCACGCAATTGAAGCGCTCGGCTCCAGGAACTCAAAGGACAAATACATATCAACCTCACCACCTTATATAAAAAGTTTGCCACCAGTCAAGATATTAAGAATTTCCAAGCCATAATAAAGTTGCCACTCCTCTTTCTGAACACCAGCCAATACAAGAGTCTTCAAAGGAAAGTCATAATATTCTGCATGTTCTCATGCAAGCCTTGGTATCAAGGAGAAGGATTTCCTTCTGTTCCTGGTCAGGATCTAAGAATGTGGCATCTAAGTTGGGAAACTAACTCCTTTATGTCACTGCACTGAAATATCTGAAACCCCTTTCAAAACTTTGAAACTTTTGGATACAGCAAATGAGTCTCATCAAAATACAGCTTCATCTGTCTTCAGGATCTTCTGTGTGGTACTCTAAAGACTGAGGACTACGAGCTCAGGAAGGTCAAATTCAGCTTCTTGCACATTAAAAGAGCAGCAGTCTCAGTGAGTGACTCTCAGTGGCTGCTCAAAGTTACATGTGAAGTCCTCACATAAAGATGAGAACACGGCACCTTTGGCACATTAATTTATGAAAAACTGCGTGTCACTGTTTAGCTTTCTGTCCAAACAGACAAAATGTAAGGATAGAGATGAAAGCAAAACGGTGATTTGAGAATGGGAACATCAATCATCTTCAAGATAGCATATGTTCTTGTCACTTACATTAACAGAACGTGGATATATTCTTCTTGTTTCTGTTTTTTAACAAACAACCTGCCTGTGTGTCAGTTATCTGTTCATACTTCTCATGCTTGTTACTAAATTTTATATTTATAGATAATTTACACTTTCTAAATGTGGAAATATATTATGCTGTGAAGCTTTAACAGCTGTAGACACCCACGAGCAAGGTCTGCATGGAGAAACCATACGTGGTGGATACTGCAAAAAGAAATGATGAGTGCTAGTAGTGGCTGACTCTCTTCAGGGGCACTGAGGTGCCCATTTGCTGGCCTGACAGGGTCACAAGAGGTATGCTGTCTTGTAGGAGCTAAAGTCCGAGATGTTGCTGAGAGGCTGTCACAACCTGCCAAGAGCACAGACCATTATCCACTGCTACTATTTCATGTGGGTACGAATGACAGGCAAGCTGGAACCTGGGCAGAATGAAGGAAGACTGCAAAGCCCTAGGGATGCAAGCAAAAAGTATTGATGCCCAAGTTAGCTTTTATTCCATTTTACCAGTTAGAAGAAAGGGTACAGCCAGAAATAGATGTACAATGTCAATCAAATTCTGTTGCTTTTGTGAGAGTTTTGACTTTGATGACAATGGGACATTCTTCAATGTCTATAACCTGTTAGGGAGGATTGAGGTCCACCTGTTTAGAAGAGGCAAGGGAATCTTTGGCATCAGGCAGGCCAACCTGTTGAGGTGGGCTTTAAAATGAAGGACTCAGAGGGTGGGGTCCAAAATGGCAACACACGCCATTGCAACCAACTGGGGAATAAACCAGGCCAACCAAAGCAATTTCAAATGCTCCTTAACTGCCAATCCCAAGATGAGAACCAGAAGACCAACCACCTCAAGTGTATAAATATCAATACACAGTCTGGGGAAACAAACAGTAGGAACTGGAGCTCTGTGCCCAGTCAGAAAGTTATAATATCATAGGACTAACCAAAACACGATGGAATAACTCACATGACCAGAAGATCACAATGGTTCTTTATAGGCTGTTCTGTAAAGACAGGCAGCAAAGAAGAGGAGGAGAAATTGTGCTCTTTGTTAAGGAGAACCTTGAATATATAGAAATCAACTATGGCAATTGTTGAAGCCCTGTTGAATGCCTCTGGGTCAAGATCAGAGAGGTCATCTCCAAGGGGGATCTTAGAGTAGGCATCTGCTACTGACTTCCAAACCAAGATAATAAGGCAAATGAAGCAATATCCGCGTCACTTAAGCTTCAGGGCAATAGAACCTGGTTCTTCTGGGTGACTTCAGCTACACAGACATGGGAAGAACAATACAGCAGCTCACAGGACATCCACCAAGTTTCTGGAATGTGTGGAGGACAGCTTCCTCATACAAAGGTTAGATGTGCCATCCAGGAATGAGACACTGCTGGCCGTGTTACAAAACAAGAAAACCTGCTTTGCAGTATCTGTTAGTCACAGCGTTCGCTGCAGCGATCGTCACCAGAGGGTAGTGGTAAATAGCTCCTTCTCAAGCTGCCAGCTTGTTACAAGTGATCCATATTGGGCCCAATGACTTTTAATATCTCCAGGAGTTATCTGAATGATGGGATCAAGTGTACCCTGGCGAAGTTTGCTGATGATGATTGAGCAGAGAAGTGGACACTTCAGAAGGGAGAGCTGGAGTAGGCTGGAAGACTGAGCTAACAAGAATCTTATGAAGGTTCAAACAACAAAGACAACTTAAGGTCTTGCACATGTGAAAACATAATTCACGTGTGCAGCACAGGCTGGGATCTACCTGGCTGGGGTGAAATTCTATGGAAAGGGACCTGGAGGTCCTGGTGGGCAACAGCCCTAACACAAGTGAACAGTGTGCTGCTGTGGCACAGAAACCAACAGGATGCTGGGTTGCATCGACAAGGACTTCACCAGCAGAGATAAAGAACTCATTATCCTTCCCTATGTAGCTCTTGTCAGGCCACACCTGGAATACTGTGTTCAGTTTTGGTCCCCACTATACAAAAAAGATGTGGACAGGCTGGAGAGGGTCTAGAGTAGGGCCACAAAGATGATCAAAAGACAAGGAAGCCTGCCATATGAGGAAAGACAGAGAATTTGGTTGGTTCAGTCTTGAGAAAAGAAGGCTTAGGGGAGACCTTATTGCCATGTTCCAGTACTTAAAGAATGACTACAAAGAAGATGGAGACTCCCTTTTTACAAGGACTTACATGGAAAAGACAAGGGGTAATGGCTACAACTTACTCCTGAGGATTTTCTGATTGGATGCAAGAGGAAAATTTTTCACAAAGAGAACAATCAGCCATTGGAATAATCTCCCCAGGGAAGTGGTGGAGTCCCCAGTACTGGACACTTTTAAGATTCAGCTGGATAGGGTGCTGAGCCATCTTGTCTAGACCATGCTTTGACCAAGAAAGGTTGGGCCAGATGGTCCTTGAGGTCTCTTCCAACCTGGTGTTCTGTGATCCTATGATTCTATTACAGCTCACCAGAATATTGAAAAAATATAAATATTGGTCCACAAAATCAGAAGGGAGGACTTTTTTCAGAGGAGTGTTCTCCCTTTTTTTTTAGCCATATCTAGTAAATATGTGTTGACTCTCTTTTGATATCACTCAGAACAGTTACAGAATGAGTTTCACTAAAACCACTGATCAGAATGAAAAGCAAGAGATTAACAACAAAAAACAGGTGAGAGAAAGCAAAAATTAGAAACAATACATTAAAATTCTTCTCCCCTTCCAGCTTCAAGATTATGATTTTGGGATTGAAGTATCAGAATATTTTAACTTTTGTCTTTCCCCATATTTCAGGATTAATTACATTTCTTTAATGACCTATTCTAAAAGCTGTCACCAGTCTAAGCACTCTGTGAACTAACAATTTGTAAACAAAAACAAAATAAAATCTTTCACGAGAAAAGAAATCCTTTGTAATGGGACACACAGACATTATGTTGCTAAATCATGCAGTATTTATCCTCAAAAACTCATTGTGGTTTTTTTTTTTTCCCTATAATTTCTGAAGTAAAACTTTTAAAGAAATTGTTTCTAAACCTGAAAAAATCTAAACACAGCTAGCAATGGAAAAATTACTGGAAGCATACTTGTATGTGCAGCCAACAAAATGAGTCTTTTCAGTGCCACGGACATCCAAGGTCGTCTTTCTCAGAAGAGGAACAAAACTCTGTGGTTCTGCCTCTTTTCTACCTACAAGCTGCCACTGTTGCTGAGAGCTGTGAGGGGCTGCCCAGGCGCCCCAGGCATCTCTTGCTGGCAGATACTAGCACAGCTCTGGACACTGCATTGTGAGACCTCCTGTTTGGCAGCAGGATGAGGCTGTAGACACTATCAGGGTTGCACATGAAGCTGGCTTACTGATGTATGAAAATATTCACGTACAGCTCATATATGGAACGACTGAAGAGACTAGGTGATTTAAAAGGGGGGATTACAGATTGCTGTATTTGTGAGCAATGTGTCAAGTATAATACTTGATGGAGGGATGACTCATTCACCAAATTTGGTGTGCTTCTTAGAAATCCAGGCCAGCTTCTGTGAAAAACCCTTCCAGGATCACCCAAAAGCATGGTAGGAGTTTACAGGTGCACATGTTACAACACTTCTCAAACCTGTATATGAAACAGCCACAACAGCCTAACACTTATAATCCCAGCACCAGGAAACATATTTGGCTTTAGTGGGCGATAGATCTTACCTGTTACAATAAAGCTGACATTTCTTTCAGCTTTTCCCACTTTATTGGTTGCCACACAGCTGTAGATTCCAGAAGATTTCGCCTCAGCTACAACGAGCGTGCTAGCAGTCTGCAAAAGAAAGAAGAGGTTTAGCTCTCATTGTCTCAGGAACTTGCTTAAAACTTCCTTTCTCTTTTTACTAAGTCATTGTGTACAGTGCCGTGATCCATCTCTCCACCCATTCAGTGATGGGCACCATTGGGGCTATTTAAAGGAGATGTCACTGTATACAACATGGAAAGGGTGGAAAAATAACAGGAAACAAGCTCTTTGAGTGACCTTTATACTATCAGAGCTATCATAACCAAAAATCTTTGAACGTGTCTTTCAGATTTATTCATCTCTTATGGCTGATGTAATGACAAGCTACGAGACATGAAGTGTGACACAACATGGCACACCTGAGGGGATTAGCAGTCTGTAGGAGAGCCAGACTGCAAAGGGAATAGGTGAGGTGTGCCTCAGACACTTGGATAATGCTGGGAAACTGCATCTCTGTACAACACTAAATGCATGTGATTTCTCTTTCACTTTCTCACATACGTGTCATGTGAAAAAGGACAGGAGCAAAAGAGATGTTTACTCATACTCTTTTGGACTATTTCCTCTTTGTGGACTTAATATTTCCATTATCAAATAATAATATGTTACTTTTCTTTACATTATATTCTATCACCATGTCAAGAAGCTCAGCGCATTAATTATTTTCACAAAGTGACATGACTTGCAAGACAGACCTTGGAAGGCCAGGCACCAACAACATCTGACGTGCCTTTAGAAAAATAAAAACCATCATAATAATAGTAAGAGTTGCACACCTTCATAGTGATGGAAAGCCATGGTCTAATGGCTTGGGCACTAAAAAAGAGAAGGAAGGAAGAAACCACCGAGGCGTCATTCGGATGACAGAGCTGACAACGGAGCATGCACATGGAGCTCAGCAGTAGGACATGCTCTTAGATACAACTTGGTGGCTTTATTTTCTGTTTGTCTGTCTCTGTTTTACTTCTTTTTTCAAACATGTTTTGGCGAGAGTTACAGGCAGAGCTGGGACAGTGACAAAAGGAAATTGTATGGCCACAGAATCCCGTCTGTTTGGATTTATTTGGCTTTTCTAAAAAAGCTTCAAATTTATTTTTGTGCAATTAATACATTCTTTTAAGTCTGCCTGATTGCTGAAGTACAGAGAAAAGCCCAAGAGAGTGAGTCAGTAATAAATAAGGGCTAGTTATCTACGTTTCTACATAAACACTGGCTGAACACTTGCACTGTTTCTATACCTCCTACTTAGAGACCTCATGGCTCTCCGCAAACTCCTTGTTGAACCCCCAAATAATACAGATCTTCTGGTTTCCCAGAACATTCTTTAGCAGAAAAAGTCTATTACTTTTCCTGCTACTCAAGCAAACACAGTGGATTCGAGCGATTTGATTTTGGCTTATTTGTTTTAGAAAACCACCTTACAGCAAATTCAAGAATACAAGTGACGCTAACAGCACCTCTACCTTGTTAAGCTGTCTCAGTGGTCTGCTACCTGTCTGCTAACAAATTACATCTCATTTCTAGCTAGAATTTTTCTGACCTTCCTTTGTAGCTCTTTCGTGAGATGAAAGAGGCTCAATAATACCAGATAGGTAATTACAGCCCTTAAAAAAAATCATCCTGTTTTGCTAAATTCAGTAGACTGACCTCTACAATTTCCTAATTATAAAGTGTGGGTCCAGCCCTGTCTATATTTTGTCATTCTCTTTGAATTCCTTCCAGTTTTTAAACATAATTTTGTAAAGTGTGGACACAGGGCTCAACACCAGGATTCCTGCAGCTGTTTCAGCAACACTAACTCAGAATAGAAGGGGGTCCCATAACATCTGCCAGAGTGCTAACATGGGTGGTTAAACACTGCTTCTTCCACGCCAGGCTTTCCACCACAAAATTTGCATTTTTTGTTTTAGTTGCTGTTACCTCACAGCAACTTTGCCCAGGTAGGAACAGTGACATAAAATACACAGTAGATAAGAATTAAGCTCTAACTCTCTGACTCCAGGACACTTGTCCTACAATATCCAGAACTAGAGCATTTTTGAGCCGAAAAAAATACATGTCAATTATTCCTCACACAATTACTCCAATGGTTCATTAAGTTTTTGGTAGCATCAAACTGTATTTTGTCCTGACATTATCATGTTTGTAATGAAAAATTGTGTACCCTATGTGAGTTTTACTGCTCCAGCCCACTACAATGTGATTAGTGCTGTTATTACACTGAGGATGGTGCATACACTAGAGGTAGTATGACTGCAGTTACCAACCAGAGTGCTTGCAGATTATGATTTTTCTTGACTATTAAATGGACCTAGAGAACATTCCTCAGCATGGAAATTCAGTGATTTAAACTGCTAGTTTTTCCATAGCATTATTTTGGTTTTGACCAACTTGCACTGTCCCAAATACTATTCCAGCATGAGACAAGGATCACTTTCAACAGGGAACTTCCATACAACCAATCTCTTGGAGAGCAAGGGAGATCAATGTTATGAGCACAGGCCTTAATGTCAGAGAGCAGTCATTGGTATGTTTACTTGACTAGGGCAGAGAAAGCCACAGTGTCCAGGAAAAAGCAAGACTGACATTGCAATAGAACAGAATATTTTAGAGACAAGATGTCTCTGCTTAAGTCTTTCAGCTTATAAATTAGTCATAAGGATAAGATAACATCTCTTTAAACAGTTTGTGAGCCCTCCAGTGGTGCAGTCTGTGTTCTGCATTGTGTTGTGGATGTCAGCCAAAACCCACCAGAGCAGCAGTTTGTACAAAACTAAATCTGGCATATTGTTGTTTTTTGAGTAATTATGGCTGTTTGAGATGCATGGCTCCTCTATGCAGCTATTGCTGCAAAAGGAGCAAGAAAGAAAGTTCTTGCAGTCTTGTATCATCTGCCTTCACAACAGAAAGTTTCAGGCCTTGGATTTGCAACCACTTTATATAAAGTATGAGGAGAAAAAAGAATGCAAAGCAATTGGCATGATTGCTGTGCTTGGAGCCAGGGTGGGCTGATCTTTCCCATGGAGTGTCTCCTTGAATTTATCTTGTCTCAAAGTAGCTTAAAGGATTCCCACTGCTCCAGCTGATGGCAGAGAAGCAAGAGGAGGTTTCAGAAAATGGTTGGCAGAAGGCTTTGGCAGACACCAGTATAAAGATGGGTCATTCAGAGATTGCTGTCCTACCTTCTTGAAACAGCCTGTACCTTTAAAAAGCAATATCCTGCCCTTTCAACACTGAGTGGGTTAATGCAAGTCTGTCAAATATTGTTGATTCACTCCTAGTTATGCTTTTAAGAAGATGTATTTGTTGGGAAAAAAAAAAAAAAAAGAAAGCAAAATATGTTCTCCTCACCTCCTTGGATTTATCTTTGGATAAAGGGATATTACTGAGGAAGACACATATTGAAATATTGGACCATGTCATTGGATTGGTCTGGTTATGCCAAAGACATATGAACTGCATGCCTCACATGTTGGCAAGGAGCATCAGTGCAAAACATCTGGACAACACACTTCACCTTCAGGACCTCCACAGAAGGAACACCAAAATATCTTCAATAGCAGGACATTAATATGTGCAGGTGAGCACCTTCCAATCCCCTGGGGTCAGATGGGCATGTCACTGCTGCTTAGCAAGTAGAGCTGTGGTTTCCTCCTGCATGTTGTGTTGTCCTACTCAGGCAGGCCATGAGACTGAAGGGAGCCAGCTGACTCACAGGGAGATCATGCTACAGCCAGCTATGGCACAGGCACCCCTGCCCTCCTCCCCAGGGCCATGGGCAGAGTGAGGCAGCACTGATTCGTGTCTCCCTTGTGCACCAAGGGAGGGGATCAATGGCAGGAGCTGGAGGGAGCTGCAGCTTGGCAGAGACAGGTGCCAAGTTTTGCTGGTTTTAATCTCACCAAGGGCTTGGCTCAGCTGGCACTTGTCAGTGATCTACTTAAAAGTGTTGACAGTGATTCTAGTAGCACTCAGGAAAGCCCCAAGAGAAGTTACAATGTGCTGAAAGAGAGACAAGCTACATTCCCACTGCTATCTTTAGCCTGGCTTGTAGGCAGATCAGCCTGTCTGTCTGTCCATCTGCCTGCCAGCTTGTCCATCTCCCTTCCAGTATACTCTTCTCCCCCACATGCTCAGTAATTTTTTAACCCATTGCCCAGTTTCAACCAGAACTGACAGACAACTCATAGTTCATAAGATCCCATGTATTTAATGAAAACCAGCTGTTGGGTAGAGAAGGAAGATCAAGATGAGCGTTGTAGTGAGTTGAACAGCTTTCTCTCCTGCTTTGGGTCCCAGGTGGCCAGTCAGCACAGATGTACTGGCCAGACAGCTGACGTGTAGCGACCGAGAACAGACATAACACATGCTTCATCCTCTTATCAGTAGCAAGGGGACACGGAAGAGAGCTAGATGCTTAGGGCCTGGCATAGAAGATGCAAGAGAGATGGCCCATCCTATTTTGCATGGTCACACCTTATCAGTCACGTCCAAGAAAGATGGACCCTTCTAACTATCTAGCACTCCACCTTTATGTTGGATGGTCACGGCTTTTAATACTACTCACAGTTAGCATGTGTCAGGTTGACCCATCATTGCCAGCCAAACCAGAGATGGACGAAGGCAAGCCTAGGTTTGGTCTTGCAAAATCCTGTTACAGGGCCATTACTTTCTATTTTTCCTGAAGTCAAGTGGCTTTGTCACTCATGGGGGATGGGACCACTGAAAATTTGTGTCAGTAAGGTATTTATGCAGTGGAAAACGAGGGCATACATAGATATATTTATACATACACATACACATATGGATGATAAACCACTTCTTCATGCTTTACAGAGCCAGCTTTCATGGTACCTCTTATTGTTAGTGGGGCCCCAATATTTGCTAGCAGCAGAGGGATTGGGCAGTCCCTTCTGTTCTCTTTCAGGTTCTCAGGGATGTGGGTCTAGTAGGTTATTTCCCAAAAATAAGGCTATTTTGTCCCACTTCCTTCAACTTTTCCCTGTACTCAACTGCCCTCCTGTCTGCTGTCTCCTTCCCTTAGATTTATCAACCTTTCTTCTTGGCCAACACTTTCCACTCTGTCTCATCTGAACTCGCCTTCTTAATGCTCTTCGGCACGTTCTCCACGCCCAGAATCTTTGTCCACCTCTCCTGCAGCTCCCTGTCCCTTGTACAAGGAGTACTGATGCCTTCTTTCAAACCTGTTGGTAAACCAGAGCGTGCCTGCACACACAGGAGAGAACACATGCCTGATATAGATGCACTGATACCACTGAATGCACCAGCTCTTTGTACTTCACTGTTGCACGTCATTCACAGATTGACATTTTAATGAACACTGATCATGCTAATAATAACAATAAACAGTATTATTCCTGAGTTATACACAGCAGTTAGCATCAACTGGGAACATTGAGAAGTGATGTGTTTTAGCAGCTGAATGACAGCAGAGTCTCCGTGATCTGTTTACATGATAAGCCTAAGAATAGCCTAGCTTTATAGGAAGTCACTGAAATGTCCAACAAACTGAGAATGAAAACTTTGGGTGGGGGAATGAAATCACTTCAAGAGCTGTCTTATGATTAAGTATTATGGCTTATATTACAAAGTTCTTCCATTATACCACTCAAGTTTCTCAATGTCCGTTTAGAGAGTCTTCAACGGAAATGTTACTAAAACTGTTGTTGTCACGGTTTCTCTGGAACCAAAAGAATAATGTAGCATAGGCTTCCTGCATCATTTTAACTGTACAGACACAGGGTTTGAGATTTTTCTAACTCAAAAAATATATTCATTACTACCTGGATAACTACAGACAAACAAGCAACCCACCAACCTACCAGAGCGAAAAGCCAAACTGAAGGGGCTCGGATGTTCCACACACAGGAAACAGGTGGAACTGGGACAATGTTTTTAAGAAAAGTGGAAACATTTACCCTCATTTCTGAAAGAAACCTTTTGACCATTCCTTGTTCATCTCTTCCCTTGATTACAATATTCTCATCCTGTGGTCACCCTCATTTCTCCTTTCATGCTAACCCAAATGTGCAACTTTTTGAGTTTCTTCATCCATTTCCTACTGCTTTGTCTCCTACATTTTTGCTGTTTCCATTGAGCTTTGAGGTTGCTTTTACCATGCTTGCTACAGTTGGATGTGGAAGTAGGGTAGACACGGTTTAGATAGCAGGACTCCATTGATGTGGAAGTGCCTCAGAGAGCTGTTCACAGCTGTTTGCAGTAGCAGAACTGCTCACTGTAGCAGTCCATCAGAGCCAGACACTGTGATGATGTGCTGCATTCAGTGAGCTCAGTGCTATTAACAGTCTAACAATATCTCAGCAGATGAGGAAGAGTTTTGTCTGAACTGTGTCCCTTTGAGTTTACTCTGGGAGACCAAGAATGACTCTTGGACTGCAAAGAATGAAAAGCTATATAGACTCCCATGGAAAAAAAAATATAAAAAAAACCCTGGATGCTCTAAAGCATTTGTGTTTGCACAAATCATGCAACTCACAGCTTGGCCAAGAACCTAGGCTTAAAGAGCATTTTTTACTTACAATAGCAATCCAGCTGTGCTTGAAAAGCAATGAAGGAACAGCAGAAATTAAGAAACCTTAGATAAGCTGAGTAAAGAGATTGTTTCACTCACCTCCCCTTCCCTGCAGGGATGAGGAGGAATAAAGCAGTGCAAGGTAGACCTTTCTTAGTTGAGTTAAACAGCATGAGCACAAGGAATACCAAGGAGAACCATCATTTTTCACTGCAAAAGTTTCCATGTAACACATGCAGAGACCATTCCTTGGTTCATTTCTGGGCATATATTTAAAAAAGGGCTGCTTGCCAAAGACTTCAAACAAAATCTGCATTTCTGCTGCAAGGACCCATTATTAACATCTTCCTCCAGGGAGGAATTTATTTGCTGCTGACTGGAAGTTGCTTTTACATTTCAGCCACTCCTATTCCGCTGTCTCCAAAACTCATGGCACACAAGGAGACTGACATCTGGTTGTTAGATAGCTCTTTCTGCACCCTGTGAGCAGGTAGGACTTCACTCATAGCATGGCTAGGTGCCTTCTGGAAAATAACTGGTTCTTATCATCTTTTGTTCATCATTCCGCCTTTGGAATAGACCGTGTCAGCCTGTGCCTGAAATTATTTCCCTTTCCTCCTTCAAATCCCTCTTTATGTCTCATTTTTCATGTGCTTTTCTACGATACTCTCCCCTAGGAAGCTGTTTGATCCCAAAGATCTTTGCCTTGATCTTTATTGAGGTGGCCAGCTAAATAGAGCAAATGCCTCACTGGGATCCAGCCTGTTCCCATGTGCTGGAACAGCACCATGAACACCTGTGGTACTTTCTAAATAGCACAACAGCAGGAGAAAAGTCCCAGGCCTGATTCTTGGCTGCACACAAAGCTCTATTTATTCTGCAGTGTGTGAAAGGGCCCTAACATGAGAATAATTACAGTTTATACCCATTTTCATATGCAGAAGACTGAAGGCAGACATCAAGAGACTCTACCTCCAGTACCCTTAGAATTACAAAAAGCCTTTCAGTGTCCTTAGGAAAGACAGGCATAGAATAAGGTATAAATTTATAATTTCTTCAGCCATTACTGCCACAAAGCAAACTAGCCTATGAAACTAGATGTTGTGACAATGGCATGGCATTATGCAGCTTCACCTGAGCTCCTCCGTAGTGCAGGCTACCCAACCACACCAAATCAGTCTGTCCCAGGGAAGTGCAGCTGATCTAGGCATCCCTTAGTAAAACACCTTGATTTGAAGGTTTTAACTGATGGGCAATTCTCCATGGCCTTTGGCAAGTTAATCTCATTGGCTTCCTCTCTCACATTAGAGACCAACAGATTACAGGACTACTCATCCCTCAGAAGTGATTGCATCTTTCTATGGCCCATTAAGTGATGTTTGACTCAACTAGACAACGTTTCAACAGTTAATGCCTCTGGGATGAATTCTACCATTCTGTCTCTGACCAAGATCTCTCTTAAACTTGCTTCTGTAATCTTGATTCATTTGGCCCTTTAAAATTTTTATTGCAAGAAAAGACCTGGTCATCAAATAATCTAGGACTACATTTGTGGATCGACTCTTTAATGAGAATAAATTGTTTAATTCTCATAAGAAAAACAACAGGAAATTGTGCAATATCACAAAACAAAGCAAAGACAGTCTGGAACCCTGCCCCTGTGCTCCTGAGTGCCCAAAGATACTACAGACCAGCTCTAAGAGAGCAGATATGGTGAATCCTGATGATACGCTCTTTTGGCATGCCACTTACCTTAAGATGACCACATGCAGGAATAAGTACATCTCTACATCTGAGCAGATAAATACCAAGTATGAAAGCCATTTGCATGTATGCAGCTCTTCAACTCTAAACAGTATAAAAATACTGGCTTCCTCACTGTTACCTCAATAGCATCTCACACAGAGATGCTGTCACACAGAGAGGTTTTCTGCTCCTAGGAATCATACCTTGTTTTTGCCCTCTATTACAGCTGTTCGCTCAGTGATGCTCTGGATCCTGTTTCCTATGTTGCTGCCAGGTTTCAGGACAAAAGATCCTTCAGTATAAGAGCAAAATCCATGCCTGAAGACAATAAAAATTGAAGTTTTATTGATATGGTGGTAGACCGAAACATTCAGCACATCAGACAAAACAAGTCTTCTGGAAACAGTCAAGGAAACTGTGGGTGCGGTGATGACCAGGCAAGGACAGTTACTTTTCATTAAACCTCGAGGCTTGGAGCCTGATGATTGGATCTATTTCCACAACTTTTCCTTGAATACTAGCTCTCTGGGGTCAGTGTTAACATTTAACCCACTGTGGACTTGGAGTTCAGAGTTTACCATCTGAGGCTAATTTTAGGGCTGTGCAAGACCAACATCTCATTCCAATGCTCTCGTTTTCAGCCATTGTCATGGTTCAGGCTTGGCTTCAAACTCAAAATAAGTTCATAGTATTTTCAGTCATATTTCCAAGACAAGTTATATTTGTTTCAAGATCCATTCCATAACGTACTGGATGCAGTTTCACTGTGCACAGGTTCTTTTCATTATCACAAAAGAAGATGCAAGTTCTCATTTCTGAATGTTTTCTTTAGTTCATTTTAGAAAATGGCAAAAGGTTCAATGATTATAAGACATGCAGTAAAAATAACCATAATCCTGCAAATTAGCAAAACAAAGTTAAACAAAACTATATCTAATTGACAAAGGATTTAAATGTTCATCTAATCTGAAAAAAAAATCAAAGTCATGTTAATGAATGGAAATCTCAGGGAAAAAATATTTTTGCCTTACGCAACAAATTGGCTTCTAATCAGAACATTCAGGTGTGGTCATGGCAGAGCTAATTTGTTTCCCAAAGCCTAATTTGGTACACATGGAAATAAACACACTGGAATACTTCTTAAATGCTGTCTTTCCCTATTCTTCTTTGAGGATATCTAGTTTTGCTTTTCATCCAAAATTTAGTTGTTGCTTGTTCACTTCCAGCTTCGTCAGTAGAGCTTAGGCCTTCAGCAGGGTAAAGCTCTTCCAAATATGATATGTTCCTTTGATCCCATGAATTTGAAGGGTAATGGCTGTAGTATCTAATCAAATATTTCTGACGTACATCACTTGTTTGGAGAAATGGCCTTTAAAGCCCTGTGACTGGATAATGGCATGTGATGCAATCCTGACCAAAAAATGAGGTTCATTTCCCTTCAACTAACTCTGCAGTTTGCTTAAACTTTGTGCTGTTTATAATATCAGTGGTAAACTAACTTTATGTGCTTGTTTTCAGTTGTGCAGCTCTGAATCAAACTGGCCAGTGTCTTAGCAGAGAATATGTCTTAAAGAAATTATGATGTATGGAAACTAACTTGGCCTGTAATCATTAGCACAGATATGTGATTGCCTGCCCAAATTTCTTAATGTGTATTGAGAGGGCTCAGTGAGCTGAAAAAGCCAAGAAACAAGACCAGACCATAGGCATTCATGCACTGAGAGAGAACAGGCAGCAACAGCATGGCAGGAAAGCCCTATCTGTACAACCATAGACAGCTGCATTAGGACAGTTGATTCTTTCAGATGCAAGAAAATGGTTACATATTATTCAGAAAGGTATATGCCATTTATTTAGCACATTCAATGCTAAAGTCTGATTCTGTAACGAGACTAGAACATAGAAGACATGATGATGTTGGTAAGCTGATAACATTTCCATGCTGTAGCAGATATCAGAACTTATTTCACGATGCCAGTACTGTAGGCACACAAACAGTATCAAAGGCATATCCTTGGGACAGGATATTTCGGCAATCTCTGTACAGGAAGACAGAGACCCCAGAATCTCATTTCACTTGTATCAAAAAATAATATTTTTTTTTTCCTTTCCCCACAGAATTAATTTCTGTTTCTTTGTCACAATGCCAAAAATTTGTGGTTTTTACTATCAAAGTCCAGACAAATACATACATTTGGGTAAAGAACAGAAAGAAGGTATAATGCGTATTCAGAAACTGCTTGTGCATCTCTGAGAGGCATCTCCAATCTCCTTTCATGCAGCTCTGGAGTTCAGGCTTAGTTTTTATTATACTCTTCTGCATAATTGAAAGTCTCTAAGTATTTAGGTTGCAATGTCTTAGGGATGAGAAGAGTGTCATGTCTTTTTTGGTGTTTAGCACAATGAGGTGTTGATTACTCATTAACACCATAATACAAACAACCATCATAATTCCAATAACATCACAATAACAAGAAAAACACATGTAAAACACTAGATTAAATATTAGCCCTGGAGGCACATTTGTGAATTCTATTGACTTCACATATCACGCTATCTCCAAACTCCTGATTACAATGTTAATGCCATCATAGTAGAAAAACAAACACACTCAATAGCTGTTGTCCATGGTTTTAATAAAAAAAGGAGTCCCTATCAAGCTGGGAATACATTATCCAACAGCCCACAGAAGGCAGCAGGAGATGTGAGCACCGTCATACATGCCACTCCTGCTCCATGGTCTGCTGGGTCAGCAAATGTTTACAAATCAGTTGCAGCACAGCTGCCAGGGAAAGTCTAGGACAAGATTCAGACTCACCCCTTCCGATGAACAACCAGACGCTTTCTCACCTCAGCTGCCAAATACTCTCACCTCAAATACACTTACACAGCTTAGGGAGAGCACATGAGCCACCTCCGGCCTGGATACTCTGGTCAGTACTCAGTCACCCTGCTTCTTGCTGCTGCCAACGGTGCCATGTGAAGCCACTGCTTAAGCCAGTAGCATCAGGCAGGGATGGGGAAGGGACAAATGGGAGTAATTAAGAGTCTTGCCTCTGAACCTGACTTCAGCTTCTAACAACAGGCATGTTGTAACAGAAAGAGAAAAGGCTATGCTGGACTTAGATGTACTCATCAAACCAAATGTTTGTGTTAAGTACAGATGCTTGGAAGAGGAGAAAAATGAAAATACAAAAATTTACTCTGGCTGGGACCAAAACACACAATCATCTTCCCATTAATTCAACTGATGTTTCATTGAGTGTGTCCTCAGATAACATCAGCTACATTTTTCCTTGCTTTGTAAAGCAAGTACAAGTTACTTCAAACTACCCACTTAGGAAAATAGCAAAGATACCCTATTTGTAGCAAGAACTGCCTGTGTTTGCAGGGAAATACCACTGAATTTTGGATATCTGAATCTTACTCCAGATATCTCCGGAGCGCATGAATTCCTGAAATGTTTTGTTGTGTGATGAGCCTCATTGCTTTACACCTTCAGGAAAACTTAGAGCAGGGTTGTTGCCAGATTAATGAGAAAGCACACAGTGTGCACAGAGCTTGATAAACAAGCTGATATCTGCCAGCACATTTCTAAGTACTTCTTATACCTGTTTCCCTGCAGATCCTTCTACTTTGTGGCTGCAACTATGCACGTGCAGAGATCCTGTGTTTAAATGTTAAGGGGTTTGTGTACAAACGCATGTTTATAAACATTATGCAACCTCAGAGCAAGGTAATCAGAGTCTTCTGTCTTAGCCGAGCACGGGGACAATCAGAGTAATAAAGTTTCTCACCCCCTAAGTAGTTTTCTCCATGTGCTGTGTGCGTGCTCGCCTGTGTGCACGCACACCCCCCCGCCCGCACGGGCACGCTTCGGCCTTTGTGTCCAGAGCCTGAGAAATGGGATATTCCCTTGTAAAAACAGGAGCCTCAGATTCTCCTGCGGGCTTTGAGTGAAGCCCCAGAGCAGGGGGGATGGAGGGCTGCAAGTGGCTCTGTGGTGCTGGGGGCCAGGGAAGCTGGCAGCATGTGCTGCCTGCCCGGCTGCCTGCAGCGTGGGGCGAGCTCTGCCAGCTGACCCGCTTGCCACCCTTAGCTTTGGGAGTTTATGCTTCTGTGGAAGAGCTGGAGACAGTTTATGCAACCAGGAGCAAGTCCAGCTTTAGAAAAGGTTGTGATGTGCAGAGCTGGCACCGGCAGGGGGCCTCGAGAAGTGGCCTGGGGGAGGGGGGCCAGCCTGCTTCTCAAGAATACATCAAGCCCTTGAGGAAGCAGAGTGTGCCATGTTTGAAGATGCAAAGATAATCACAGTGCTGGGAACCGTCTTGTGTAGCGGAGGAAGCCAAACAACAAGAGGAAAGCAGCATATGCTCCTGATTTCGCACAGGAAGCTAGCAGCACCTCCTGCCAAAGTGAGATAAGAAAACTCCCATGGCCTATTCTGGACAAGGCCGTGGTTATCAACCTTAGCTTCACACTGTCCTCACTGCTCCACAGCCCTCTCCCTTTCCTAATGAGTTTCAGAGCCCTCACCTCTATTAGCATACAGCATGCCAAGCACAATAGCGTAGTATATTTAGAACTATCAACGGGGAAAAGTTTCCAGGGTAAGAGTGTACTTCATGTCATCTTGTTGTATTTCACTGAAATCAAACTGCAAACCAGATCCAAGCTGAGGTCCTGCCTATGACACTACTGGTCTCAGAAAGAAAGTGGGTTGGTTGTTCACCCCTGTGATTTACAGCAGAGTGTAGGAGCTGAGGTAAAGAATTTGTGTAATAATTCACAGGATGGATTTGATCCCCTGTGTGACAGACAGTCCTAAATGAAAGCCCTAGACACAGCTTGCATCCATACACATCTTATTCCCCATCCTGGAGCCATTTCTGCAATTTGAAATTGAAGAGCCTTGATCCCCCTATCAGCTGGAAAAATACTAATCTTCTGTCTCCTCATCACCCCAGCTCCTCCTTCCCAAGCCCTCCTGTGTTATGCCAGAGGCCATTGCAATCTTTCTGTCCTATAACATCCCATTCAATTCTCTAAGCATTCCTCTGGCAATGCCACTGGCAGCCTCAATCACACTTGTTTACTGAGGCAGTATTTGGCAATTGCACCAATATTTGGAGCAAGAGGAAGCTGTCCTGTCACTGATAGTGATAATTTTTGAGAGTGATTAATGGCAGGCAGAGTATTTTTCTCAGAACCTATCCTTTCTTTAGGGCAGCCACCAACTCCTAGCAGCATAGGGACAATGTTATTATAAATTCAGGTTGGGCTGACTCATGTCTTTCAAGAGATGGTGGTGACGACAC